AAATGCTTCAACTTTAATGCAAAGATCTGATACTGCAAAATATATCTATCTCTCTATTATAATATTTTTATTATAATAGATTACAATAAAAACATTTTACATCACTACACAAAAACTTTCATGTTTCAGAACTATAATTGTTCCTCTTCGGGTGATGGCAGATAACATGATGAAAATGATCTGTTTGGGAAATTTGAAAACAAATTGTTACTTAATTTGAAAGTTAAATAGGAGGGGAAAAGTTTTTGTGTAGCAATGTAAAATGTTTCTATTGTAATTTATTATAATAATATTTTTCTATTGAACACCTTTTTAAAAAGTAAATGCTAAGAACTGTGGATTCTTTTCGCTTTCTCTGGATCTCTCTCTCATCATATATATATATATATATATATATATATATATATATATATAATGGACTCTCACCATTGATTTCGGCGTATGAGGATCTGACAGCTTACTTGATTCAGTTATGAAATTTTGCGTGATAATCTTGAGGATTATGAGATTATATATATATATATATATATATATATATATATATATATATATAAAAATTTGATGTTATATAAAACCAACTATTTTACAATTATTAAAATTCAATAAATTTGTAATAAATGCATGAAAAGAAACTGGTTTTGAGCTGATTAAAACATGGATGCCTATGGCTTTTTTTTTTTTTTTTTTTTTTTTTAAAAAATCTATTCATAATACCACCAAAATGCAAGGATTAATAGAGGCCGCCAACAATAACATCACTTGTTATTCCCATGCTGCTTGAACATGTGTCTTTGCTTGAATGTAATTTTGGGATTTTTTTTTAATCACTTCATCCCAAGCAAAGCAATAATGCCACTAAAATACAAGGCATTACTGTGTGCAAAAGAGAATGAAAAGACTTTAGAAGGAACCAAAAACCCCTCCTAAACAGGAAACAAGGGATAAACACCTACTCCTGTTCAAAAGACAGAGGAGGAGTCAGGCAAACCTATCTACTCCTATCATGGTGAAATATCTGATCACCAGTTAAGCAATGTTGAACCTGGTTAGTATCTAGATGAATGACCGCTTGGGAATAACAGGTGTTGTAAGCTTGGATGTGCATGTGGTGTAATGGATAACAGATTGGAAATGTGAAATTGGAGAGGCAAGTTCAAATTCCAGTCAGGTTTGCTATATAATGTGTTTATGTGCAAATATCTCTGGGAAAAGGCATGAATCCATCTCTTTCTCTTTGAGATATGAGTTATATAGTAAGACATATATCAGAAAATTATTCTCTCTAAAAAATCCTTACAATCCAAAAAAATGTTATGGCATTAAATAAGCTTGAAGAGGTTGATAAACCTTAAAAAACAAATCAATCAATCGCAAAAATAGGAAATATGGATGAAGTTCCAGTAACATTCAATGAACCATCCAACAAATATTTATTTATTTATTTATTTTTTTAATATTCCCTGCTGAAATGTGATGAGTTGTCTGTAGCCAAGTACTGGTTGTAATGGCACATTATCTGTTAAACATTTGAGCCTATTATCATTTCATAGATCAGCACTTCTTAAAATTTTCATTCATGACAAGATTTTTCACAACCCCAGGTATTAACAAACTACACTGAAAATATTTACATTGTCACTGCAATAGTCGCAACAATGCCACGTGTGTTTATGTGACACATCATGTTAAATATTGAGCGTTTGTGAAATAACAAACTGAAACTCAAGTGTTTGAATCTAATTTTTGTGATCCCAGCATTTCGCTTTGCAACCCATAGTTTAAAAAGTACTGTCATAGACAAAGCTTTTGTATTTGGATATTTATGGTTCTATGAATTATGATCAGAGGTCAAATATGGATCGGAATCCAACAGAATGATAGGATAAAGATCAAATAGAAAACATTTAACAATCTAACATGTTTCTTTTTTATTAAAGCTTCATCAGAGAATAATATATGGAAGAAATTCAGGTATTTTTTTTATTTTTGTGATCTTTTGCATTGGCTAATCAGGCTTCAGGTGCATTTGACTTGTTAAAGTAAAGTTAGTATAATTTATGGTGTTCTGAATTCAAGTAGAGATAATGCATCCATTTGAAGCTCCATGAAATTAATGGATTCCAAGCCTAACTGAAAAATCAAATATTGCTTTATGTATGTAAGTGTATCATAATTGTAATTTGTCTACGTGGGGTTCAGAGGATAACATATATTCATAAATGTGTGTGTGGTTTTTCACATTGATTTACACACACATTCCATAGTTAAAATCATTATTCGTCTGAAGTCCTTTATAATATCTACTTATTTTTACATATATTTAAAATACCTAGCATCCGTTGTTTGTGTGCATGTGTACTCACACCAACATAATAACTTTAATCCAATGAAGTCCTAAAGCAGGGTTCAGCAACCCTTTTGGTGGGAGTGGACCAGACAGCTATTCAATGTCTCAGAGGAGGGCCATGATATCAAATGTACTATAATAAATTTATATATATATATATATATATATATATATATGAGAGAGAGAGAGGACAAAGGAAACCTTTATCAATATAACATGTTTCACTTTTATTAAAGCTTCATCAGAGAATGAGATACAGAGAAAAAGAAGAAATTGGTATGTTTATTTTGCTTAATTTTCATTGGTCAGTCATGTTTTACACGCATTTGACTTGTTAAAGAAACAGTATAATTTATGGTGTTCTGAATTCAAGTAGAGATAATGCATCCATTTGAAGCTCCATGAAATTAATGGATTCCAAGCCTAACTGAAAAATCAAATATTGCTTTATGTATGTAAGTGTATCATAATTCTAGTTTGTCTATGTGGGGTTCAGATGATAACATATATTTGTGTGTGTGTGTGTGTGTATCCATTTTTTTGCATATTGATTTGGAAACATTTTATGTAACTACTGTTTGTTTTAGATAAACATACATTAGATGCTTTAAGAATTGATTCAATAAAGGTTGCTGATGTAATACAATATTTTTGACAAGTGTTTATAGTTGGTAATATAGTTATTAGTAATCCCTGAAAGTATTTTCAATGTAAAGAATTAGGTGACATTTGTAGAAATCAAAGTTATAGCTGTTTTTGCTCCTGTGTATTACATGCAGATACTCTTCATGTTTGTAGATATGGGCTGATTAAGTGCTTTTACATTCCAAGTATTTGATAAATATTGGCATCTGAACTGATGTTGGATTTATTTTTCTTTATTATATCTCCAATTGCCCTGGAGGTGGCGGCCCTATGGTTCTTTCTTACGTCTCCGATTGTCTTGGAGGTGGTGGTTCTAAGATGACTCTACTATTCCAAATTATACAACTTGCAATAGTCGAGTCATCTGTTTGTGGAAATGTAGAAAGTAATAAGCAAACAAAGACACATTTCCCACCAAATATTAGAATATCAGAATTTTTAAGAAAATCATAAAAAGAAACTTATTTTAATCTGGGTCAAATAGGGAATATAAATGAAGTCCAAGCAATATTTGATGTGCCAACAGATATTTTGTATTGATTAATTTTACTGATCAACTTTTCCAAATTATGAATAATCCTTTTCAGATGAGGAGGGAATTCCATCAGAAATTGTCCAAAGTTCATTTTGAAAGAAAATGACTAATAAAAATCAAGTACAAAAAAAATGGCTTATGTTCCTTGAAGTAATACTCAAGCAACAAAAACAACCATTAATAAATAAAAAACAATTCTATCCTAAAATCCCACATCATGAAATCTATATAAAAAAAACAAAAAACAAAAAAGCAAACACCTCACTGACATCACAACACTCACTAGTTCTATGAAACTCACCATTTATCTCTTTCTACCCTGATGATGACTTAAGAAAGTTGAAAGCTTCAACCATATTTCTTGCAATTTCCTTTCAGAATGAACTTTGGACAATTTCTGACAGAATTTCATCCTTGTCCAAGAAGGATTATTCCTAATTTGGAAAAGTTGATCAGTATAATTAATAAACACAAAATGTCTGTTGCCTTTAATAATATTTGCCTTAAAAGAACAATTGCTGCCTATATAAACAGAATTTGCATTAATAAAAACAAAAGGAAAACTTGTATCAGACAATATGTTTTATCCTCTGATGGACTTTATCAAGTCAAATTTTCCTCGTCTTTGTTCATATTGTCCTTTTACACATATTTGTATGTTTTTTCTTTGAAGAGACTATTTTTAACAAGCAGTTGTTTGGTAAAATAATTTTTTTTTATTTTCATACACAAAGATAAAGATATTTTTCCATTGCAGAACAAACAGATGTATACATCTTTAAAGTAATGATACAGTTTTAAGTTAAAGAACTAAAAATTATATAAATTAACAAAAGTGTTAAAGAAATATCAGATATCAATGACATTAGCACATTTTTAAGGGACAACATTTTTAAAAGTAAAACTAAGTTCAGATAACTCTGTAAAATTCAGGGATCAATTTGACACTGTTGGTATTACAAACGGGGCATTCCTTTTAAATCCATTAAAAAAAAAAAAAAAAAAAAGGTCTAATGATGCTAACCTACAAAGATGATTTCCTAAAAGATATTTTTTCCTTATTTTTTTTTTTGCGAGTGAAGCAATTTATTAAATAAAATCAAATAATTGAAGGGATTTGGTTTCAGGAAGTATCTCCTGATTTATTCTAAAATCAAAGGGAAGGATAATAAATAAATTCAGACAAATCTGAAGTAGGTTGGTCAAAGGACAGACAAAAACAAACACTACAGTAGAACAAGGCAATAAAACATTTTAATAACCCGAATCTTGAGGTGATGTTTGACTTTTGGTCCCAAGTTCTGTTTGAGACGGAAACTGACAATTCCAAAAATGGAAATACTTTTGGCAGGAAAAGCTGACATCATCTTTTGTCAAACGAGAAAGAGCAGATAATGAGTCATATATATTTTCAGGTACAGATAAATGTGGATAATACTCATTGTTCAAAAAGCGATTTCCTTTCCAGAGATATTAAATTCTGCGTTCTGATAAATTCTTGAGATTTCGGCCAAGTTTGGGAGGTGCCAAATCCAAGGGACTCTTTTCTTCCTACAAAAATCAAGAAAGAATTTGTTACAAAAAAATAAAAATGTGTAAATATACAAGGTGTCTTAAAAGTTACTATTTTAGTAAAATCCAATGTTTTTCAAAAAAAAAAAAAAAAGAAAAAAAAAAAAGCATGATATTATCATAAACATTTGGATCATTAGTGCAGGTTTTTGTTTTTATAAAATGTTAATTGGTTTTGGCTGATTTTTGTGTAATTTTTCTTTTTCAGACCCATTTAACTGTTGACGAACATAAGAGAATGAGTGTTTGCTGTAACATGGAAAATAAAAGGTGAGAAATGCAAAGAAATTAGAAATAAATTTGAAAGGCAGTTTCATCAGAAAGGTCCAACAGACAAGGCTATTCGGGAGTTGTTAATAAAATTTCAGAAAACTGGATCTTTTTGTATTTACTCATATATCGTGTTTTCCTGTTTTTTTTTTTTGTGTTTTTACACACACACACAAAAAAAAAAATATAGAAGGTTGCACTATACACAGGTAATTTTTTTTTTTTTTTTAAGAGATTAAAAATCATGCACTTTTGGTAACCAGTAGCAATACACACAGGTAAATTTTTTTGCAAGAGGTCAAAAATAATTCAATGGAACCTGAAAAAACAATGACTATATCAAATTTAAAATTAAAAATAAAAAATTTAATGCTTTGCCTTGCAAGAACTTACCTTGTTCAGTAATGATAAAGAAGCACCATTTTGGACCAGCAAATGGGCAACATCTCCACGTTCCTCTTCACAAGCCAAATGCCTAGGTTAAAATATAGAATATACATATATATATATATATATATATATATATATATATATATATATATACATACATACATATATACACACACTTCTGCATCCCTAACACATAAAAATCTTAAAGGACACAGTAACTTTCCCATCTGTTAGTCCCATGGACACAACTAAAGTTTCCCATGAAAAGTGATACATTGCATGTATTCTTTCAAATACTTTTAACTAGTCCTTTCTTTCTTTCATTGGATGTGTGGGTGGCATGAAAGAGACATCATTGTTGACTTACCAGAAACTTTCTATTTTTTTTTTTCTTTTTAAGTTATTTGATGCATCTGAACATATTGAAGTTTGCTGATCATTGCTTTAAATACCGTTTTTGTTTTAAATTTATCAATTCAATTGAGACAAAAAAAAAACAAAAAAAAACTTGTTCTGTCAATTTAAAAACTTTATTCTGTCATAATTCTTAAAAAATATAGTTTCTTAATTGAACTGTTATTAAGTGTAAATACTGTATTTGTTTTGAATTTGTTAATTAAAAAAGAAGTTGTTTTGTCTATTTAAGTGATCTGAGATGATTAATTTTTTTGAGGGATGATGGAAAGAAAAAGAACAAAAAACTTAGTCTGTAGCCATGCAGTTTAACACAACAATTTATTAGGAAATTTTAGTCTTAGACCCATTGAATTTCACAGGGATACACTACATTAGAAAACACACACACATTATATATATATATTTTGAATATCCCAAACACTGACCTTCTTGTAACCATGGTTTCTGGCAAAATGGCTTAGTCAGACAGCAAGTCATTGTTTTGTCTCAAAAGACCAATTTATAATTCTACTTGCACTGGCAGTAGGAGAAGGAGGAAAAGAGGCAGAAAGACAAAGGGATAGAGAAGCAGAAGGAGGGGAGAGAGAAAGATAACAACCATTTGTCTAAGTACTCCTATCCGGAATCATAATTGGCCAATGGAAATCTTTTTGCATGTTTGCAGGCAGCCATAACTTCTGAACTTTCATTAAATAGCTTGCTTTGATCAGGATATATCATGAAACAATGACTTGCTGCTTGATGAAGCCATCTTGGCAGAAACCATGGTTGCAAGAAGGTCAGTCTTTCTGATATATTTCATATCTTAACTTGCCCTACATTTTTGTTTTATGAAAATTATATTGAGCAGTCTTTTAATTTAGCCATTCTTTTGGCAAATATTATTTTTTTTTTTTTTACAAAAGACTGAATCTATAACTATATATAATTTTAAATTCAAATTCAATCTTTGGTAAAAAAAAAAAAAAAAAAAAAAAATTATGTCCAGAAAAGAAAATGCAAGAAAAATTAAATAAGAAACTGCAGTATCTTGTCAGTCATTTTTAATGAAACTTGTATAAAAGAAGGATTGCTGCCCAAATACACAAACACTCACACACAAAATGCGATGGATAAATTGTTGTCTAAATTGTGCAAAAATAAAAATAACACTGACACCTCATTTTAACATATCAGTCAGTTATGTGCCATGCATGGTACACACTTGAAATCTAAAGAGTAACTTTATTCAATAAAATATCATAAAAAAGTTGCTCAACTGCACCCCACACATAATAATCAGTGGGTGGGGGTGGCCAGATGTAAGGGGTGATGTGGTCATAGAAATTGTCTGACAACCATGACTGGGTTCTCCTGCTTGTGTGACATGATGCAGAATCCTGTTGTCAGACACAGCGTCTTCCGGCAAACATCCTCTTGACCCAGGGAAGCACTACCTCCTCAAGACATTTGATGTAGGCCTCCATGTTGAGTCTGAGACTCTGTGGGAAGATGAATGAAGGCATAATGTCGCCATCACTAGTGATCACTCCAAATACCTTCGTAATCACCATTAGACTCATTTAACTCTTTCCAAATCTGCAGCACTGTCCTTAGGTTGACACCCAAACACTCCGAAATATTCATATTGGAGTTTCTGGTACAAATGCCAAGCAGTACAGCATGCAGTTTCCAAATTTCTGGTGGAGTGAATTGTATAATGGTGCTCTTTTTCTCATGGATGGTGCCCAACTGACCCTACTATCCAGTGTAGTCAACAAAATCCAAAACAAATGATAGGAATGTGCAAAATAAAAAACGGTGACAGTTTACCCATCACACCCTGTGTGTGTGTATGTATATATACATATATGTGGATGTGTAGATATAGATATTGAATATGAGTGTGTGTTTGTGTGTGTGTGTATATATAGTATATACGTGCGTGTATGTATGTAGATATAGAATATACGTGCGTGTGTGTGTACGTAGATATAGAATATACGTGTGTGTGTGTGTGTGTGTACGTAGATATAGAATATACGTGTGTGTGTGTGTGTGTACGTAGATATAGAATATACGTGTGTGTGTGTGTGTGTACGTAGATATAGAATATACTTGTGTGTGTGTGTGTGTGTGTGTACGTAGATATAGAATATACGTGTGTGTGTGTGTGTGTATGTAGATATAGAATATATGTGTGTGTGTGTGTGTGTATGTAGATATAGAAAATACGTGTGTGTGTGTGTGTGTGTGTATGTAGATATAGAAAATACGTGTGTGTGTGTACGTAGATATAGAATATACGTGTGTGTGTGTACGTAGATATAGAATATACGTGTGTGTGTGTACGTAGATATAGAATATATGTGTGTGTGTGTGTGTGTGTGTACGTAGATATAGAAAATATGTGTGTGTGTGTGTGTGTGTACGTAGATATAGAATATACGTGTGTGTGTGTGTGTGTGTGTGTAGAACATTCTCTTGATTAATTTGCATATTTATTTCAATGTCTTTCAATGTGATATGACCATAACTCAGAAATTAGTCCAAAAAATTATTGATTCAGCCATCAAAACAATTGTGGAGTTCACAATCACTCTATGCTTTTGACTGTGCAATAGGAATAGATAGAAATTCTGCCATGGTCCAAAAATCAAGTGTGGGGGCAAAGGATTGATACATCAGTGTACTGCTGCTGAAATAATCATGTAAAATTAGAATTGTAGCACTAATCTGTGATTTATTTTTTATTTTTTTTTTTTAATATTTCAAAATTTGCAGAAATTATTACAGATGTTAAAGAATCTTAAAAAAAAAGAAAGAAAGAAAGATCACTTCATGACTGAATAGTACGTGCTTTGCAAGGGCAACATTGTTTTGAATTCAGAGTTGTCCTTCTCCTAGACTGGTTGCCCAATGTAGCTAGAAAGCGCAATTTGCCCTGTTATTTAAGCCATTGCTGACTTAAAATAATATTATAGTTCACATAATTATACATATCTGCTTTTATATATTTGTAAAATATTTGTAATTTTATGCATTTTTTTTTTACTTTAGTGTGACAAAAAAGAGAAAATAAATAAAGAAGCAAAAATGATATTGGCTTTTATATAAGATACAATAATAGCCTAGTGGATTAAAGCATTGGTTCATGAATTTAGTGGCATAGTAATTGTGAGTTCAATCTCTGGGCCAGGTAGTACAGAGTTAGTGAAAATAGGGCTAATGTTAACTGAACAGTATTTAAAACATAAAACAGAGATAAGATATCCCTAGACATGGACAGTATAATAAAGGGTTCAGTTTGAAATTCCCTCAAGGTTACTTGGGTCAACAGACATCTGTAAAAGGTGAGAGGGCACAATGTCAGAAATGTTAATTTAGCGTTTCGATAAGGACATTAGTCCAAATGTAAGAGAGAGTAATTTACTCATCGAATGAAAAAGTGACGGTGGTATTTACTTTAGGTTGTATTTTCCTTGCAAACAACCTGGGATGTTTATGTTTAAAATTAACTATATTATGACATGAAAGAAAACATTTAACTTTTTAAATATCATTAAAAATAAAAGTATCCCAAAAAAGTGAACATGAAAGAAAAGAAAGAAAAAGCAGTATATGAGCAATATTACTTATAAATGAGTCTGTTCAAATCATAAGGTATTCACTTTTTGTGTCATCTATCTTCTTACCATAACAACGGAATATCTCATTACTAAGTAGGCGATATTGGGTGATTTGTTTTATTTTTAGGGTTTTTTTGTTTTGTTTTTTTACAACTTATCAAGCCTTAGTGGGTTATTTTTTGTGAGTAAATATTGCATTGACAATTTTTTTTTTAGAGATAAGGATTTTTCCAGATGAAAGTCATATTTAACCATAGCCGAGAGAAGACATGAAATTATACCTTTCCCAAGGGTATTTGCACATAAGTGAATGAAACAAGCACAATTGGAATTCAAACTCCGCTCTGCTATTCATTACACCACCCACACATCCAAGTAGGGAAAATAAAGCTGTATAAATGTTACGTAGTGTTTTATAGTTAAATTCCCAGATGAATTCTGTGGACAAGACAGATTGGTATCAAATGACAATTGGAAAAAAACCTTACATTTTGCCGACGCGTTTCACCTTCCGACTTTTTCAAGGCAAAAATGAAATCAAAATGTTTTTGTTATAGTTACATTAAAAATCCAAATTTAAAAAGATAGATGCTTCTGTCTAAGCCTTTTTTTTCTGGTTAATGTAAATTACCTTTATAGTAAGAGATTATTATTATTTTTTTTTTTTTTTTATATTACAGAATAAATTTTTATTAAGGAGATTGGAGCTGCAATTCAGTGTTGATGGACATTAACACTGCACCTGCAATCTATGTAAATACTTACAATGGAGTGTTGCCTTCCTTATCAGCACTATCTATTTGCGCTTGAAACCGTAGTAACAACTGCACAATTTTGATATGACCTTTTGATGCAGCTCGATGCAGTGGTGTACTTCCCATCCAGTCAGCTGTATCTGGATCACAGTTGTTGTTCAATAGACACTCGGTAATCTGAAAAAAAGAAACACAGTCACGGTTCACATTACATAGATTTGACATTTTCACCCAACAGTTATCAGGCCATCATCAAGTGATACTATGCAATGAAGTTGTAACAACTTAAACCTAATCAATGAGACAAGTCCTGGAAATTTTCCATTTGACTTGTAGTGTTTATAGCACTGGTGGGAAATGATTATAAAATGAATCAATTTTTTTTTTTTCAAAAGTTACAACTAAATAAAAAAAAATGCAAAGGTCATTTCAACAAATACTTTCAGGCCAGAAAAACTGACAGAGGGAAGTAACTGTTATACATGATGATCCAAATTTGGTAGAAAAGTTGAGGTGTGTGTGTGTATGTGTGTGTCCATTGCCACAGACATCAAGATTGAGATTCCTTATCTTTTACACTTACAAAACAGTAGCAAAATAATTTTATAGAAGGATCTCATTATCAGAGATAAATACCAAGAGGTATTCATTAAAGACTTCGCCTAACCCATTTCCAGTTTTGCCCTGATGGCAAGACTAAAAATATGCTGACTGCATCTTCTACAGAAAGGTACATACTCAAAAAGAACCAACCATTTGGCAGATGCTTGCAAACACAAGTATAAATCTGACCAGGTACAGGCTAAGGTGTAAACATGACCAGTGTTTTCTTATGGGCTCAAGTATAAACCCAACCAATTGTCTGCCTACGGGCTCAAGTATAAATCCTATCTATCAACTCAAGTAAAAAACAAAAAAAAAACCAACATATTTTGACATTGGATGGCCTAGCAGGGATTGATAATTAGTTGTAAATTATATCAACCCATCTATTGCGTATAGAGAGACACAAAAATTGTCACTGATTAATCCTTCTCCATACAGCTTCTACCAAGTTATACATTTCTCTTGTCTTCTGGTGCACTTGTGAAGACTTTTCTTGTATAACTCTGTAGGAATGTAGACAACTTGTCATCATGCTATCACCCTGGAAGTGCCTATCTCTCAAATATAACTTCATGATAGAATGGTACCAAGTCTCAAGAATAAGTATGGCAGGCAGGAATTTCATAGTTACATAAACATGCTTCCATTTGTTTGACAAGGAAGTTGTGCAAAGGTCTTGCAAGATCTGAACACCTTTGTGAAGTGCACTGCATGATGGGTTTTGATGAACTTATAAGTTCTACATCATTGAGGAACAAGACATCTCAGTTATTGTGGTATCCAGAAGTACCACACCATTTTGGGCCCCAGAAGACAGTGTGCATCTTACAGAAGGAAGTTGGACATGCCTTTATTGTGCTTCCCTTGTTTGGTTTGCAGAGGATATGCTGTTGATGTAATGGCTAGCAGTTCGGAATGAGAATTTGGAGAGTCAATTTTGTTACATTTATTTACATGTAAACACCTCTGAGAAAGATATAAATCAATAATTAAAAAAAGAAAGAATTATTATTATAATCCAAAATATGTTTTTGCTTTACATAACATGTGATGGGTTGATAAGCATTAAAAAAAAGAAAATACAAATCAAATGTTTGGTTTGTGCTTTAGTTCCTGGGTTAAAATGATGAACCTATATTTCATCCTGTACATTTAGTTGGGTAAAAATGTACTCTTGGCTTTTGTGACACAAGGCTAAAAGTTCACAGGAGCAACTGACCCTGGCTTCTTTCTGGAAAGGTGAAAACTAACAACGAAACCAACATGTTGACATTTTTTGCATCTGCAGGCGTTTGTGATCAATTTTTGTTTTCTACACTGTTAGTTTAATTCTCAAGTGCTTTATGCAGTGATTGCCCAAGAAGGTAGTCTCCACTTGAACAAATGGTGTCACCATTAATTGCTGACTGAAGGCAGCTGAGAAGTGGTGCTATTTCCAGTATTTAACACCATAGGATAAGGTATTTATTCTATACATTGCCGTCATCACCTTCAAAACTGGTGTTTTTTGTTTCAAAAAGAGGAAAATGATTTCAGTTTACTCTACTGCCGTGGTTTCAAAACCTTTTCCCCCTCTGGGCTGCATTTTCAGAATGAAAATTTGTTCATGCCTCACCAAGTGTTATGTGATAAAAAGTACATTTTAAAATTTTTATTTTTAAATGTACTTTTTATTAAAGTATTTATTATTTAAAAAAAAAAAAAAAAAAAAAAAAAAAAGAGAGTGGGTTAAAGGGAGGTAACCGCGGATTTGAAGTCAGAACATTATCATTGATAACTCTCTCCTCTAATGTGTGGACCCTAGTTACTATATTCTTAATACTTGATATAATGCAAAAATATCACAATGATAAAATTGGTCAATAATTATTTATAAGTATTTATGCTGGCACTCATGTATGCAATTACAAATAATCTATAATAATATTTTATATTTTGAAATTATATTTATTTTTGGTATATGAATTTTTTGAAACTGTCTTTAATTGCCTTTCACTTATTTCTGCCTCACCTATTATCCTCTTCTGCCGCATTTATGAGGCATGCCTCAGAGTTTCCTCTTAATGTTACTTTCATAATTCATGTTTAGGTCCTGTTGGTTCTGTGACAACAGCAAAAGGGACCATTACATTTGGTGCAGTGATAGAGAAAGAAATACCAAACAACTCCCTCACATATTATCTCTGGTACCATGAAGTGACCAACCCCAATGTATCACACCTGAAACACAGTAACATTTATTATTACAAGTCTGTAAATTGAAGTGAATTCCATGCATCGATGCATGTTTCTACAAGTGCAAAGTTAAAGTAGCTTAAAAACAAAAATCTACATAGAATCAGCTAAGAAACCCGCAATTGCCTAAGAAATCCCTAAACACAGGCAGCCCAATTGATGACAGAGAAGACACAACTCCTACACTAAGAAACATATATAACTTAACAGCAAACCAACTATAAAAATGAAATGAATTGGATAAAAACATTTCAGTCATCATAAACTTTTTTTCTTTTCTTTTTTTTTAATTAACTGAGCAATTCCACTCAAAATGTCATGACACAATTTGGGTGGTTTTGTAGAGAATATTTTTTTATATCTTCAAAATGCTGTTATGAAAGAATTATGTAATATCTGCATTATTTACAAATGAACTGTTGTCCTCATCTTTTGCTATTATTATCACAACATTTCAACTAGTGCTTTGTTAATCCAGGTAATTTTGAACTGAACCCTTTAGTCTAAAGGGGTAGATTGTTTTACCCACTTTGATTAAATAAAAAGGTACATTGTTTTAATCCAGGATATTAATTAAAGGGTTCAGTTTGAAATTCCTGAAAGTTACCTGGAGAAACAAGCACCTGATGAAGACTGTAGGATGCAACAACCAAAACAATCATAACCAGAAAGATGAGGGAAATTGTACATTTTTTTTTTTTTTTTTTTTTTTTAATCATTCCACCCCAAGCAACAAAATAATGGCAGTGAGACATAAGAGGTTACCGGGAGTGAAAGAAAATAAGAAGACTTTAGTGTGGAGAAAGAACAATAAAAAAAAACAGCATTCAGGAAGATGGCAATTGACATTGCATTTAAATTTTTGAAAATCATAGGTGGCAGGGAAGCAAAAAATTGGAAAAGGGTTTCACAGGCGAGAAGTGCAAGAAAAGAAACTATTAGATAGAACTTATGGCTACATCTAGTTATTTTAACAATAAAAAAGCGAGATCTAGCAGCCAATCCAGCAGTACACTTAAATCTATGCTGTTGAGTTACCAAGAAGGAAAGCTCATCAGAACAATTGCCATGAAAATACAGGGTGTCCATAAAGTTCGTGTGCAGTTTAAAAACTTTATTTGTATTTGCGATAGAAATAATCTGTAAAAAAAAATGTTATAAAGTTTAATGTACCTAGTTTTAAATATAGCTAAAATAACTAATGTGATTTCAGGCATTACTGTAAATCAGTTGGCAAATGTTTTCCGTGAACTACAAAATCGTATTACCCTTTGTATTGCTAATGATGGAGGACATGTGGAAACTTCAATCAAATTTCAATAAAACCTTAAAAAATATAGATTTACTTCTTTCTAATCCTTTTTACAAATTATTTCTATCGCAAATACAAATAAAGTTATAAATTTTTTAAAGTGCACACGAACTTTATGGACACCTTGTATTTATAGAAAAGACATGATATAAATAATGGTAAGTTCTCATCCCAGAAATTCAGACACAAATTCGAAATATATTTTGCAAAGTAGTCTTGTATGTATGTATGTATGTATGTATGTATGTAAAACCTGTTGAATCCTTGTTGAGTATAGGGCCACAGATGTATTATGCTAAGCAAAATAGTTATAGTTTAAGAGAAGCTCAAGGGTTTTGCTGATTGGTCCCAGTGAAGCTGAAGTTGTCGATACCTTGAATAGTGATACCCTACTGTATTTGATCATGAAGTATAAGAAATATTTTTTATTTCTTTCAACTTGTATCACCTTGGTGGAATTTTCAGGTTTTGAAAATGTGACTCATAGCAACTGTTGAAGAAATTTTGATGACATCATGATTTTCTTGGTGTATCAGCTAGCAGTTGCTTGACCACTTGACCAATGGTTTTGGTGGTATGCCCACAGAAATCATTCTAGCAGTTTGGGGGTTAATGACATTGTAATTATTTTGGCCAATCAACACTCAGCTTTTCTTGGAATATCCTGATTAAGTATGAAATCACCACTAGACAATCACTTTCTTTAAAGGTGTCGTCATAAGGATTCTATGATGCCTACTTAAGAAATTGAAAAACTTATGAGATGGAGTTGAAAATTTCTACCTTCAGATAATATTGTTGCTCACAGCCTAAATTCCTGGTCCTGTGGGAAGAGTGAACACTCTGGATTCAAACTTGAATTATTGCCAGTGATTTCAGCTACTAAATATCAAGTCAAAAGAAACCATTCATCCAAATACAACAGTGATACAGCACGGTTCCTTTTCAAGTGAACTATTGTTTCTCTTACTATTTGAGTCTCTATCTTTGGAACTTTTCAGTTGTTGATTGGTTGTTTTTGTTTAGCCGCAGATCAATCTCTATGTGTTATTTAATGCCAAAATCTAAATATTTTATGCAATTTTATTTTTGGAGATAATGATTTAATGATACAAGTCTTACTAATTAACCCATATCTGGGAGGGGGAAGAAGCGGTGGATTCATACCTTTCCTCAAAGAAAAGTATTTATGAATATAATGAACCCAAATGGAATATGAACTCGGTCCTTCAATTAACAATTCCGAAACATTATCCATTACACCATCTGCAAATCCAAGCTTACAGCACCTGGTATTCCCAAGCAGTTGCCCAACTACGTACTGACCAGGCTCAACATTGCTTAACTTTTGGTGATTTTAAAGGAACTGGTGTTCCAACACGATAAGTCAGGAACTTTTCAAATATCTACCCTTTTTAAGTAAATGAAAAATATTGAATACTAATTCATTTGTTTATGGGTGTTCAGGAACTTACCAATTTTCATAACAAAATTTATTTCCAACTGGGTAATATTATTTTTCTTTTGAAAGACTGTTTCTACCCATCAAGGTTAATTTATGTTGTGCAGGTTTTAATGGAAAGGAAAGGTTTTGATTTTTCACAATGTGCATGAATGTAATCTTTTTTTCCTTATTTCATATCTTGTTATTGACCTAAAAATTTCATATTTGTACCATACAATGTGCTAACATTTTGTAGGCTTAGGATAACCCGTAACATGTTTTTTGCAATAAAATTTTATGATTCTCAATGCGTATCTCCTGCGTCATGAGTGCAACTCATTATTACTCCTCATCATGGTTTTTAATAATTTTTGCTCAATAGAACTGATTAGGTTTGAACTTTCAAGTTCTACAAATGCATTAGTACTTATCAGTTTCAAAATTCTTCTTGACCATTTCTCAAAGTAAATTCTAAAAAAAAAAAAAAAAAAAAAAAAAAAAAAAAAACGCCTACTTCCAGATTTTTCAATCAGTTGAATAAGTAATTTAAAAACATGACCTTCATTTGGTTATGCAGAAATGTGGCAAGATCTGTGAGACCTTCTCAAATTTCTGTACCACCCTCTTAAAATGCCAAAAATAATCTTTTCCATAATTCTCTTCAATTTTTAAATATTTTGGCAGATAATTGATTTTTGGAAAAGAAATGGTGGAATTTGTTACTACCCTCCCTACACACCTACAAAATCTTTATGATCTTCTCACACTTAATGGTAATGTTAGCCATTTCCATATAAGGAAACATTTGACATTCATTGACCGAACAACCAGTGTTACACAAGTTAATCCATTCTTCATTTCTTAGTCATCGGCCAGAGATCTGTTCTTGTCTCTAATGGTGATTGCAATGTTAACCATTTCCTTATAAGGAAACCTTTGTTATTCATTGACCAAGCAGCCAATGCTACTCAAGTTAGGCTTTTCTTCACTTCCTGGTCATCGGGTTGAGATCAAATATTTCAGGAAAAAAAAAAAAAAAAGATGATCTGTACATGATGCAGACAAAATATATAAACACCAATTCACACTTTTTTTTCTTTCAGTGTTTATTAAATTATAGTAAGCAGATGGCTAAGTGGTTACCAGGATTTGAATATCAGTATGGATGTGTAGCAGACATAGTGAACCAGAACCAGATTCAATTGGCAAAAATGGTGACCAAGACTTGCCTTATTCTCGATGAAAGAGAGTTTGTCTTTGTCTGGCATGTAGGACTTCAATTTGACAGAAGGCGAGTGTGTTGTCCCGTCAAAAGAGACCTTTCTTTGTTGTCCCACAAGAAATTGGGTAATTAGCAACTTTACATAATATTAGCGTAGTTGGAGGGAATCGAGAAGGGACATCTGGGTGTGTTAGTGCTCCATTCTGAGGGGTCTGTATGTCTAGTATGTTTATCATCCAGGCAAGTGATTAGTAACTTGCAAGTAGACCATCGAATGAACGACAAACTGGATACAGGGAAGAGAACAACAATAAATACTAAGAAATCAGAGTAGAGGGAAGAAATGCCCAATCTGAAATTTTGTCCCAAAACAGAGTTGCTAATTTCTTTTGGTGACAGTATGATTTATCAGGGAGCTGGCTATATGATAATTATGAACTGGGGGGATGATCCTAACATGTGACACTATTGGAAAGTGCCTTAAAATTATACCATGGGTTGATCGAAGTTCCTTAAGCAAAATGAAGTAGATGGAAGTGTTTTGAAGCTATCAATGATTGTGCTAGCATGAAGTCACAAGTCATCATGAGCAAAGGTTTGCGCATACTGGCTTTGTTCAACTACTGATCACACCAGATTATGCATTCTCTCCACCAGAAGTTGTAATTAAGGTTCGCTCAGCATAACTGAAATATAAATCAAAGGTTGGCTCTGTGGGTATAGAAAAAACACAAATGTGCTTGAGCAAGCTTCTGCAACAGAGATTATCTAGCCACCCAAGAAAATATATAGTCTTAAGCCTGATGGATATCTGAAAATATTAAATCAAATATTTGTTGCTTTTAAAAATATCTTTGGGGTTATGTTAGATTGAACGCCCTAACAAGAGAGTTAAATTGCTACCTAGATGGGAACCAAGTTATGCCCCTTGATATAACTATCTAGAACAGAGTGGGTGAAAAAAGAAAAAAAGAAAAAAAGAAAAAAGATTTCAAGATAGCAGTTGGGCATTCCCTCATGTTCCCTACTGGACACTATTAAGCCTCCAGTAATCCACTGGTCATGTTTACATCTATTTTTTACCAATACTGAATAAAATGTATAAAGGTTTGAGTTGTGTGTTCGTTCTTATTTGACACAAATAAGCACACACAGGCTGCGATAAAGAGAATTTGCAATATCAGTCAGTTATGTGCCATGCATGATATACGCTTAGGTGATCATGCATCTTTCAATACATGACTGAGGAGGTAGATTTTTTCCTACAGTAGGTTGCCATTTCTTTCTGCGGTAGACCGGTTGCCATTTCTTTCTGCGGTAGACCGGTTGCCATCCAAGGTTATAGAATCTGGTCTGTCCTGTTATTTACCTATAGCTGGGGGGAGAAGAGGAGGATTCATATCTTTCCCAAGGGTATTAGCACATGTGAATGTAATAGATCTGACTGGAATTTGAACTCGGCTCTCCGATACCTCAATCCGAGCCACTATCCATTACTCCACCGTGCCTCCAATTTGCAATATACAGATTTATTAACAGCAATCAATCAATTAAAACTGCTTAACAAAAATGAAAAACAGAAGATCTTTCTGACCTCGTATCTATTTTTTGAGGCAGCATAATGAAGAGAACATTGTCCATTGTGGTTAACAGCGTTCACTTGGGCACAGTGATGAATGAGACTGTTGACAATCTTGGATCGACCGGCCGAAACAGCAATCATTAAAGGCGTCCAACCAGACTGATAAGAAAAAAAGAAAGAAAAGATAACATTAAATCATGTGAACTATGCACAATAACATTCAAATAAAATCAGTTGCAACAGTAATGCTTGCATGTCAACCCCCCCCCCAAAAAAGACCAGGTAAATTTAGACCTTCATACCTGCTGAAAAATGCTCTGTCAAAAGGACAGTTTTTCCATTGACATCATTTTAACTCCTCTAATGTTTATTTAAAACAATAAACAATGTTGAGGAGTGAAGTGATGATTAGAACTGTAATAAAATTTAAACATGATGAAAGTGAATTTTCTTTGATCTTGAGAATTAATAACAAAAATATTAAACTATTTATTTTTTTATATTGTTTATTGGAATGGTTAGCAAAAAATTGGCTCATCACCAATTGATTCTAACTTTATAAAATGGTAAATAATAAGGTTTTCTTTATAGCTGGTTCATATATTTTAGTAATTTAGTAATTGTTTATAAAATTATGAATAAAAAATTGTTTTCACATTTATTTCATTATAAATTGTTAAATAATAAATATTGTATTAGTTTTTAGAATGTTGTAAATATAAAATTATTCTTGTAAATAAACAATGTAATAAATAAATAGCATTTAACATTTCTGTTGTAAATTCTCAAGAACAAAAAATATTTATAAATTCTTTTTCATCATATGTCTATGCTTTATTCCAATTCTAATTATTGTTTTTAAAACAAACATTGCCAAAGAGTGAGGGGAGTTAAAACAGGAGCAGTGTTGATGGAAAAAACAGTCCTTTTGACACTTTTTCAGGCATGAAGGTCCAAGTTTGACAAAAGACAAATTGAAAATGAGTCAAAGCTGAATTTTGGTTTCAATCTCAGGAAATGACTGCTAAAAATCCCCCCACCTCTTCAAATTTACAGACAAATCCTACTTTCATGCTGGAATTTTTTTCGAGCCAATAAAAATAAAAATTTCTCAATCTTACCCATACATTTTTTCTTTCTTGCCTTGATGTTGGAAGTCTATAAACCACTTGATTGTATCCTTTTTGCATGTGAACACTATTTCTATTTTGTGAACTTTTTTCTTTGTTACTGTCTTATAGTGGCTTTGCTTTGCATTACATTGTCTCATATTATTTTGCCCTGTTCTTCTTATTAGTATTATTTAGAATTTTGTCAATTCTGTTTAACCATGCCTTCTTCAACACTGATAAAATAAGTTTGGGAAAATGGAAATGGTTCTTTACCATTCTATCAACTCTTTACCACCAGTCACAAAATGGTTTTAAGAATATAATATCAATTTTCTTTTCTTGGAAGGTAAATTTGATAAGCAAAAGTTACAAAAAAAAACCCCAAAAAACAAAAAAAAAACAAAAAAAAAAACTTAATTTTAACTAGCAATGAGACCTGGCATTGCACAGTTCTTTGCTGGAGAGATCTGATTAGGTTGTAAAATGAGATTAGCAAAAGCACTTTGATAGGCTGGAACCATTTTCCTTGTTGTTTATTTCATAGATTTACAAAGGTTAGATTTTTGTGATATACTATTAAAAGATATCAATATGGCTTCCTTTTACTCCAATTTGTGTTTTAAAAGCTCAGGTCATTACCACTTTCATGACAGTAAATTTCTTTCCTTAAATAATTAAGAAATTTATTTATAAAAGCCGTCAACAAAAAAATTGCTTATTTATTAAGATTGCAAAAGGCTAAATTGGAAATGAACAACAAAACACATTTACTTTTAAAATTTGATTTCTAAAGCTGAATATGCAAGTTAGTTATCTCTGCAAAGGAAGAACTGTTAAGTTGGAAAAGATACAAGACAAATGCTGGTAGATATAAATGATAAAACCACATTTGAGGGAATAGTTTTATGTAATATTTGAACACACCCATGGACAGACTTTATATATATTTAATTAATCTTTAAGGTTTTAAGACACACATACAAACTTTGAGTTTTATATTAGATTATCAGTACATTAAATAGACTGAAGTTTTGAGATTTTCATTTTTTTTTTTTAGAAATAAAAATAAAAATGATTCACTGTCTTAAGATTCAAGGTTAACATTTTCTTAAGAACAGTAGTTTCAGACAACTGGTTAAAGTTTTGGGGACAATGCCAAGATAATGTAAAGTTTTTAAACAAAGTCCTATTATATTTATCACAAAAGCATCTAATTTAAAAAAAAAAAAAATACTGAATGAAATCCAAATGAAAAATGAAGGTTGAATTACTTACATTTAGATATTGCTATTATTTATCTGTAAATGGGAAAAAACATTGTTATCTATAAGAACTAAATTTACTTTGATATACTGAGCAAGAAATTTTTTTCTGTCAATTAGAACTATTAACAAACATTTATATATTAGGTTCTCTGCTTATAACCTAAATCAAGAGAGAATTTTAAAAAATGATAAGCAATCATGGAAAATTTAGTCCTTACATGAGACAGGTTAATGAAAATTTTTTAATAAATACTTTTAAAACTTTTTTTGATTGTGAATTGTTGAAATATGTCAGTATTCTTTATATAGGAAATAAGTTCATAGATCACAATTATTAAAGTTTGATAAAATTACTCTGAGCATGAAATTATATATGTCCTCTAGCAGTTATAATATTATATCTAGCTTAGGCTACTCACTGTCATATCATTAGAAATTCTCCTTGACTAACATCAACAGTCTTCTCTGACTCACTTGGAGTTCTTTATTTAAGGCATCTTGCCTAGTTCATTTGTGTTACTGGGGGTGTCTTATTTACTCCACAACAAATTATTCAAAGTAATTAAATTGAAATGTTTAAATACAAAGTTGTGATTTCTATACAAAATTGCAGTAAAATTTAACTTTATTTTTGCATTTATTCATTTTTAAAACTTTAATATTTTAGCATTTTTTAAAATTTTCATTACAAACTGTATGACCTGCTTTAAAAAGCAACAAATGATAAAAAGATTGAATGGATCAAAATAAATATATTTTCAAAACATTTTAAGGGTGTTTTATTCGGCTACTGACATTTTAACAGGTTTTTTTTTATTATTATTATTCAGCTACTAACATTTTAACAGGGTTTTTTTTATTATTATTATTCAGCTACTAACATTTTAACAGGGTCTTTTTTTTTTATTCAGCTACTAACATTTTAACAGCATTTTTTCTTCTTCTTAAGCTACTAACATTTTAATGATGTTTTTATTCTGCTACTAACAACTACAAATAATAACTGAAGAAAAACAATATTTTGATTTGGGAATAGATTAAAGTTTTTCTAGGATAATAAATTATCCTAGAAAAATTTTAACCTGTTATTTCGGGGATGGTTCTGGAATGGCGGTGAAAAAAGTTAATTTAGAGTGATATAACTACTTCCATCAAGAAAAAATTCAGTAATTATTGACTTTTAATGATCCCCCTCATCTCAACGTCTCAGAGAGAAGCTACATTAATTCTGAAACACCCAGTAGCTTCCTCAGTGAATAAGGCAGTATGAACTAAACAGTTTAGTGGGAGTAATGTACACATTGGGCACATGGCTGAGTGGTTAGAATGTTCACTTTCCGACATGGGTTCAAATCTCGTTATGGTCGATTTGTCAGGAAGGTGACTTCTTAAGTTTATCGGCCTGTAGAGGTGATCCCAGTATACAACATCTTTGGAAAGTACCTGAAAGCCATACAACAGGTTGACCAAAGCCTTGTGAGTGAAATTGGGTAGATGGAAGTATTTGGGAGCTGTTGATGGTTGAGCTAGCATGCAGTAACAAATCATTGTGACTGAGGGTTTGAGTGTACTGGCTTTGTTCAGAATGTTGATCACATCAGCTAATGTGCTCTCTCTCTCTCAGAAACTGTAACTAAGTTCCACTCAACATCAGTCAGTTAAGTGCCACAGGTGATACACGCTTGGGTGATTATGTATTTTTTGGTACATGACTGACAAAGTAGATTTTTCCCGCAGTAGGTTGCCATTTTTTTCTGCAGTAGACTGGTTGCCAACCAAGGCTAAAGAATCCAGTCTGTCCTGCTACTTAACCCATAGGTGGGAAGAGAAGAGATGGATTCATATCTTTCCCAAAGGTATTTGGGTGTAAGTGAATATAAAAAATTTAAACTCAGCTCTCAAAGTTTTCATTCTGAGCCGATATCCATTACACCACAATGCTTAGCATAATTGCAGTATAAACCATGGGTGGGCTCTGTGGGTGTTGGACAAGCACAAATGTGCCTGATTAGGCGTCTGCAATAGGGATTGACTATTCACCTTAGTAAATAGGTATACTTGGATATGAGTGGCCAGCCATTATTTATTACACAGTGATTATTTTCTCAAATTCTTTTTTCAAGTTGATGAGAATCCATTTCCTTCAAATTATTCTAAGATAATCCACAGAAAAATGATTAAAAAAGAAAAATACATACTTGATCCCTGGCATCAACAGATGTGCCCAGATCTAACAAATAGTCTGTTATTTCTTCATGTCCTTGGGAAACAGCCCAGTGTAAAGGAAGTCTTCCACTCTAAAGATAAAAAAGACACATAATAATGATAGAAAATCTGTAAAGTAAAGGAAGCTGTATATGTGTTTTGACAAAAAATATCAGGTTAAGTCAGAAGCAATTCCCGTTTTTTGGAACCAAGTGTAATGACAAATGTATTGTCCTAAATAACTGTTACTTAAGTATATCATAACAAGTGATGAAAAATGGGTCATTTTTTTTAATCATTGCACCACAAGCAAGTCGACAATACCACTAACACACATACAAAGGGCTACTGATAGTGAAAGAGAATGAGAAGATTTTAGAAGAAACCGAAAACCAAGTCTTAATCTGGAAACAAGGGGTAAACCTCCACTCCTGTTCAAAAGACTGGGAAGGAGTATATATGACAACGTTCACTGCAAAAGTGAGTTGACAAGGATTAATCTCTACAACTGAGCACGAAAGCTGAGCTCCATGGAAGGTAATGTCGAGCATGGTGGCATTATTAGAGTATTACTTGAAATGCACATTTATATGTTCAGCAGCTGCAACCTGTCCATAAAGGTTTTGTCAAAAAGAACTCTGCAGGAATAATGTTCTCTTTCATGACAATGTAAGGCCATATACAGAAAGACTAACACAGTTTGTCTTACACCATTTGCAACATTAAACTGACCTGGCATCAACCAAGTAATATTTTTTTGATCACTGCAAAACAGTTTGATGGGGAAAACTTTCTCTAATGAAAACCAGATTCAAGGGTTCATCAAAACCTGCACAATTTTACTTAGAAGATATCAAAGAGTTTTCTGATAAATGGTAACAAATCATTGCAAATAATAGTGGATATATAATTGAATAAAATGTAATTGTATTTTATTTTTTGAAGAATAAATTTGAAATTATTCATGACTCAACGGAATAATAAAAATTAATAACCAGATTTAATATAACTTAGCTTTTGCATTGCAGTGTACACAGTGGATTAAAGGAAATATGTTGCTTGCCCCCATGACAATGCAAAGCCCCATGTAGCAAAAATAACACAGGAAAAAATTTGGGAACTCACTTGGTCTGTTCTACCCAATCTGCCATATTCCCATGGTCTTGCACCAACTGATTATTACCTTTTTTGAACACTTTAAAACACTTTCATAGAATAAATGTTCTCTGATGAAAACCATATTCAAGAGTTAGTTTGGATTTGACTTATGATGATTGTGTGCATAGCTGTTACCTTATTTCTTATTGTACTGATTTCTACAATAAACCTTTACTTATTTATCCACAGTGTTGTTCAAGCATATATTCCTATTAGCACAGAATATAACATAACCATAGTCAAATACAAAAAGAAATAACAGAACTGTCCAACAAACAGAATTAAAGTTTGCAATAAAAAGAAAAAGGAACAGGTCAAAATGAAAATAATATCAAGCAAGCAAACAACATATGCAAAAGTAAATTCACAGGTAAGAAGGCAAAAAGTTTACAAACTATAAATTGGCATCTACACACAAAAACAAGGTCAGACAAGCAACTGCAGTGGTCTGTCTTCAAAATAATCCAGAACTGGAGCAATTCAAGTCAAATTGTAAAGCAACTTATTTTATTGGCTGAGAAAAATATCCCAGCAGGCATTTGTGGATTTCTGCCTATAAAAAGGGAGGGGGGAAAGTTTTGCAGCCATTCCTATAAGAAGTTACATTATGGGGTGTTTTGTAGATTCCCTGTTAATATGTGGTTTTGTGGTACATGTAGGATTGAATGGTAATGGATGAGGTTTTGTGGTGAATGATTAAATTCTAATGAATGAATGGGTTGTGAGTCTGATTAACTAGGTCTAGCATAGTGATGATCAGCCTTACCCCACTTCCCCTCTGGCCTTGTGTCACAATTATGTATTTTTATACACATTTTTTGGCACAAATTAAAATTAATGCTCCATGACATAACATGAAAATGAAAAATTAATAATCATGTAAACATCACACAATTCAAAGATACCCTGATGCTATGGATACCAAAATTTTTCTGTGTACTAATCAGACAATGGAACAAGTATTTAGTATATTTTTTGAAAACTCCAAAACATTCAAAATTTTTAGCAAAGAGTTTAATTTATACAGTAAATATAAGGCCAAACTGGACCCTTACTTTGTGTCGATCATGTTAGCTAAAACGAATCCATCTTTTGTTTAACTGTCTGAAGTGGCCATCTTGCTGAAAATTTGAAAACATTTTAAGCTTTTTTAGTGAAAGGTTTGATTTACGATGTAAGTATAATGCTGAACTGAACCCTTACTTTGTGTCCATCAGGTTAACCAGAGTCTTTATCTTTTTTGTTTAACTGTCTGAAGAAGCCATCTTGCTGGAAATTTCTAAGGGAAACAAAAATTATGATTTTTTTTTTTCAGGAAGCAATCATAACAGCAAATTTTACTTGCAGCAAAACAGGTTTCTCTGATAGAATTAAATCATTCCAACTTCACTGTCTTATTGTTTCATGAATCTCTTATTGCAAACTGCTTGAAATAACTTTAGCCATGACATTCCAAGAAATGTAGAAACAATAGTTTGACTGTCTAACATGCACAGCAACAATCACGGATTCACCACTTTTTCACTAGTGTGTATACATGTGACAAATGATAAAGAGGCCAGAATCTGAATGGAAAGCTTTATTTTATTTTCAATACCATATTCATTCCGCCTGTATGGCTCTCCGCAGATTTTGATTCTTTTTTTTTTATTTGTCAACAACCATCATTTAGTTTTTCATTGTCATCTCCACGGTTTTGAATTCAGACTAGATCTTCTCTTTGGCTTCCACACCAGGCAAGGCAGGAGAGAAGATAAATGTAGCAGACCTGGCCAGAATCTGAACTAGACTTGCAGATTCCATTTTCGGAATTGATAAATGTCATTTTAATTATACACTAAAAATCACTTTGCATGGAATCAGAATATAAAGCGAGATGAAGAATCTAAGGGAGGTAATTCAATATTCGGAATGTGAATTTGTTTTTGACATTAAAAACCTTTTTGGCATTAAATGGACTGGTCCACTCATAAAAATATGGAAAACTTTTAGGGGGAAATAATTTTTGTAGATCAGCATTTTTAGACCTTTAGGTCATTACAATTGTCAGAATTAAAAAAATATTAATTAGTTATCAATTTAGAAGAGAGTTTGCTTTACAATATCAATATAATGTCAAATTGATCCCTGACTTTTACAGAGTTATTGATCTTGGGCTAAGTCACTTAGCCGTTATTTTTTTTTTTTATTACAATAATGTACACCCTGTACAAAGCTCAAGAGGCACTCGAGGTAGAGGGTTATAGAGTAAGAGGCACCACCGGAAGTGAAAGAAAAGGAAAATACTTTAGAAGGAACCGGAAACAAAGTATAAACTTCTACTCCTGTTTAAAAGATTGAGGAGGTGTATAAACTGGATGATAGACAAATCTATCTACTCCTATTAAATGTCATGTTTGAAAATGTGTTAACATTGTTGATATTTGCAAATTCTTTAAGCTTTGTTTTGTAACATTTTTTTACAAGGGATTCAAAATTATTTATCTTAAATTAAGAATAAGTGAATACATAATTTAAAGTAAACTAAAAAAAAAAAAATTATTCTAAAAATCTTCATGCAAAACGACTTCTTTTCAGTTTTTGATTCGTAAATAGTTTCCACTCAATTACAAATTGAAAATTTAATTTCGCGAAATTTCATGAAATTAAGTAAGTGGGGGTAGTTTAGTAGTATATATAAAATATTTTTTATCAAGATTTTCTAAAACAAATTTTCAAAAATAATTTCATTTATTTGTGAATAAGTCCTGAAAGTTTCATTAAAATCCGGCAATTATTTTATTCGCAAGAATTTCCAAATTAATAATTTCATGAGCTGAAAAAGGGCGCTTAGTAATGGTAAAAAAAAATAAAATACGTCACTCGCTGACATAAAAAAAAGAAAAAAGATTTTTAATTTTAACCAAAATTTAGAACGTGTAAGGTTTAAAATAAAAATTAAAGAAAAATAATTAAAAAATACTTTTGTCTTTCCTCTTATTGACAAACATTCTAACGATAAAACTTTTTTCATCATAATGTTTTTTTCGCGAAAATGTGTAAGTAGTGAAATCAAAACCAATATCTTAAAAATGCCTAATTTTTTTTATTTATATACACACAAATAAATTTTTCATTTAATACGGACTACCTTTTTATATTATCTTTCAAATATATATTTCCAGCATTAACGTCAAACACATTTTTAAAATCATTTAAAATGCGATTTTTCAGGATTTTTTAAGGAAGTGTACAGCGTTAAAAAAGAGAAATGTTTTAGCAACTGCCACTTCAAAAATGTGTTTTCGTACGCAAAACAAAAAGACAATAACTTTGTAAAAAACAAAAAACAGGAATAGATTTATTTCCGATATTATGAATTAGTAGGGTAGACTCTTCTTACTAAACAGATTTTAAAAACATCAATATTTTTCGTTTATGATAAATATTGGCGCATAAGAAAGATCTAATGCTTATAAAAATTATTTCTCATAAAACTTCTGCAAGTTTTATGAGTGGACGAGTCGATTTATTTTAAAAAAATCAGTCCCTTTTTTTTTTTTTAAACAGTTGCAGGAAAGTATTTTTGAGGTTTTGTAAGTTTCCTTTCCAATGGATAAATGTTCGTAACATTCTGTTTATTTTCAGTATTTTTATTCGGTTAGCTTGATTACCGTTTACCGAGCACTCAGTCCTGGCAAAAGACAACTACCTGAATAAAAAACAACTGACAAAAATACTGATAGTGGCGTAGAATAAATTCAAAATAAACCTAAAGAATAATAACAATAACCAAATAATTTTTAAATAAAATGACTGCGCCTATTAGTGTGCTTATATCAATTTCCAATAAGTAATTCTATACAACCTAATTAGAATTAAATTAAAGGTAGATAAATAAATATTGGTTACATCTTTTATTTAGTTTAACATAGAAATTACTAGAATGTTGTGAGAAGAGGTCGAAAAAAAGAAAATGCATCGTAGTGTATAAAGTCCTTACTGTTTATCGTAAAAGTTATGAATAGTTTAAATTATAGACATCAAATAACATCGTTAATATACGTACTTCGTCTGTTTTGTTAATCAAATCTCTGTTTTGATTGATCTTTTTCTTGAGTTCATCAAATTTCCCATTCAAAATAAGATCACATACACTTTGGTCAGCCATGCTTGTTTATTTCGCCACTTCCGCTATACCTTTACGAGGAGACCGGAAGTAAAATAATTGCACCTTACCTTTATAAGAAAGCTTCACGATTATTAGTATTGTTGTTTTTTTTTTTAATTTGTCTTTTTTTATTATCAGTTGAAAGTTTCTCTTTTCCTTCAACGGAAAACAAACAAACACCGTCCATTGCAATATGAGAGCTTACACTTCTATTTGTGTAGCGATTGTTGTACTAAAAAGTTTCTAGCTTTTTTAACACTTGTGTTGTCAAATTTTAAATATAAATTTGCTGGATGGGAGGCATTTCATTTGTTTATTTGTAAAAACTAATTTCAGATCAATTTTTGGGAGCTTCATTAATGTAGTACTCGGAGCCTTTATCATTTCGGTCAGTCCTTTTTTTTCTATTTTCAAGTTTAAACGTCACATTATTTAATATTTGTTAAAGGATGCTAAGTTCAACAATTTAATTTAGTTTGTAAAAAGTTTACTGAGAAAAATACTTAAATACAGAATTTGGAAGAAGTTTTAAAAAGTTATATTTTTATGAAGTACAACAGAATTATTTCAACAGGGGTACAAGATTCGAAAAACGATTTTAAAGTTAAACTGATGTATCAAAAAGTAAAATTGAAATAAAACTTTAAAGGTGGATTAACGGTGTACAAGTGAAAACATTAACGACTATTTACGGCATAAAATCTAAAAGTGGTCATGTCGAAAAAAAAAACTGCAGTTAAAAAAAAAAGCAGCTTCTGGTAATATGTATGTTTTAAAGTTTAGTTTTAAAATCTCTGTTACTTTATGTTCGTTGAAAAATGTGTAAACATTTCATTTCAATCATTCATTAATAAAAAATACGAAATAAACTAGTTTTATTGTTTAGTGGCAATGTAACCCGAACCGTAAGTTCTATGCTAACAGTTTCTTTTCTCGCCGGTGGAACTCTCTTCTGGCTCCATGCTTTCCAGTCAAGTTTTTAATCTTCAAAAATGTAAATGAAGTCATATTGAAATGCAATGACAATCGTCATTTCCTTTTCTACTGTCTCCCTGATAACTCTTTTTGCTTACTGGAAATAGTAAATTTAATCCTTTAGTTTCAGAGATTTTTCATTTATGAAAATTCATTTAAACCTTCTTAGGTATACCGAATTATTGGAGGTACCGAAGTGATTGTTCGCCTTATAATTTTTATTATTTTATTTCTCTTCTTTGCAAAGAAATTATGATTATACTTTTTTTCTACGTTACTCTTTAAAGTCTGGTCATGCCTCATTATCTACTCAGTTTATCTTAGTTTCGATACAAGGGCCACAAATATGGAGCGCCCGCCTGAGAATCGAATTCACTATCTCAGTACTGAGTCGGTAATGATGGTCAACTCCCAAGGTACCCACCCCGACAAAAAAACAAAAAAAAAAACACCTCAAGTCAATGTAAGGGAGGTAATTCAGTATTTAGCATAAGAAGAGGATGATATAGATTTTTATATATCAGTACAATGTTAGGAAAATTCATGACAAAGTAGAAAATATTTTTTTGTTTGACGCGTTCGTTCTTTAGGACTTCATGGAACTAAAACTAATGTTTCTGCTGATGTAATATCGGTGGGATGCGGGTAAGCAATATAAAAAGAAATATTGATTATTATTATGCATAAATAAGGAACAGTGGAATTTTAAACTTAATTTTTGTTTTGTTTTGGGGTTTATGCATTTATTGTTTTATCACTTTTATTATTAAATATTCCACGTTGTGATAATAGAAAATCTGCCAAGAAAGGTGAAATGTGAGAACCTGGATACAAATTTACTATAGATGATTAGTGATTAAATCATTTTCTATATACTTCACCTTAGTAAATTGTTGTCTTCTTAATTAAAGGAGGATTTTTAAATCAAAATTATGATTACACTCATTACAGTGAAGAACTAATGCACTGAGAGTATAGCTTGAGTCATTGATTTTTGACTAGCATTTTCATCTTCATTTTTTATTAGGATGAAGCATTTTCAACTATTATTATTAATTTTGATGATGGCTCCTTGAAAGCAAATTTTACAATTCTTAGTTGACTGACAGAAATTAAAGACATATTAATAAATTTTAAATTGATAAAAATTAATGGTTTTGGTTTGTTTTGTCTTATGGCATATTGACCTTTTCCAGGTTATTTAATGAAAAATTTGGATAAACAAAAAAATTTAGATAAACAAAAGATAGATAGACAGACATCGGTCTGATTTGTATAAGTGTCAAAAAGAAGAACATAGGCCGTGTTAAAACTAACATTAAAAAAGGTAGACATATTTCCAGTTTACACTTTAGTCAAAAAAGTAGCTATTGATTCGGTTAATATTATAGTCAAAAAGCAGACATAGGTATAGTAGAAAAGGTGCCCCTTTTTTTGAATGGGTTACATTTCTGTATGGGGATTCACTTTGTGTATTCTTGACCTAAACTGATGGTTTTCTTACTTGAATTAATGAAACAAGATCTTTGTATTTTGATTGAAAATGATTTACAAAATAATCAGGAAATTAAATGTTTAAAATTATATAGATGTTGTATCTTTATGCAACCTACTTTTATTTAGTCTTCTTTATTTATTTTTTTTTAGAACTGACAGTCTTTAAAGAGAACCAGGATGTCTTTTCAGTTTCAGTCTTCCACAAACAAACATTCTGTATCAGCTCAGTTGGCTCATTGTCCTTTGTTATTCTCCAATATGATCCAAGAATGGGAAGCTGCTCATTGGACTCCCAACCATCTAGCCTCTCTTGCAGGAGATACAAAGTTTAATTGTAGATTGCAGTGTCGGTTTTGTTTTCAAAGTAAGTTCCTGTTTTTATTATTTATTTATTGTATAGGAATTAAATCTTACTTATTATAAAACGCAGATTGTGTGTGTGTGTGTGTGTGTGTGTGTGTGTGTCTACGTTTATATATTGGATCGGATTTCCTACATTTTTCAACCGATTTCAACAAAACTTCACAGGACTGCGTAAAATTACCTTGTGGTGGTTCTGACAGCAGCAAAAATTAGAAAAACACAATTGTTTTTGCACAAAATCAATTTGAAAACACTATAAAACACAATTCTGTCATCAGAATGAAAGGGGGACAACTCATATCGAGTTATACTTATAAAACCCAGGTTGTTTTTGTGTGTGGTGTGTGTGTGTTCATTTATATATAGGATCGGATTTCCTACATTTTCCAACTGATTTCAACAAAACTTCACTTTTTTTTGGCAGGTAGAGTTTCTTATTTTCTTGCACACTTTTTTCTTTATTTTTACATTCAGAATGCTTTAAAAATTCCATTTACAAGACAATTGTTTATAATAAAATTCTATTCAATCGATAGACGCATAACAATTGAAAACAATGTTTTTGTTTGAGTTTGGGTTTGACCAATTCATAAAAAAAAAACAAAAAAAAAAAAACAAAAAAAAAAAAACTAATTAAGACATGCATGTCCATCAACCTTAAACAATAATCTTTGTCAATTTTATTTTTCAGTCTTTATGATGGTCAATACTTGATCTATCTCTTACTGTTACATCCCCAGGCAACGCCGGGCTCTACTGCTAGTCCTATATATATTTTTCAACCAATATGTGTGTATATGTGTGCGTTTCCTGGTTGGAGATGCTTTTCAACATGTTTTACCTCAGGGAGTAAATACCGACTAGCTGGGATCTGTTGAGTACATCTCAGACTTACATTAGAACTACTGACCTTCCAATAGTAGCACTCACTACTGGATTGACTTGTGGCAACCTTGTGCATAACTGTTACCTTTATTCTTATTGTACTGGTTTTTTTACAATAAACCTTTACTTATCACCTTGTTTGTCAAGTATATATTTCTAGTAGCACAGAATATAACATATATGATTAGAATAATTAAACATATCTCTCATTCTTACTAAATTAGTACAGAAACAATATTGGAAGATGAAGACTGTGGGGAGTAGAAACCAAACAAAACAACTGAGTTGATATTCATAAAATTTAAGCATTCAGATGCTTAATATGAATTACATTCGGTCTTGCTTTATATACATTTTATTCCTGTGGAATAAACATTTTTGGATGATGCCAGATAATAGCTGAAACATGTCAAAGTAAAAAATTTCCCAATTGTTTTACAGATATACCTTTATATATATATATATATACAGGGTGTGATGAGTAAATTGTTGCCATTTTATATTTCTAATTTTCTGTATGTGCATTGTTTTTGATTTTGTCAACTGCACATTATAGTAGGGTCTGTTGGGCACCATCTGTGATAAAAAGAGCACCATGATGCAAGAAATTTAGAAACTGCATGATGTACTGCTTGGCATTCATGCTCCAATACAAGCATTTTAAAGTGTTTGGGTGTCAATCTGATGACAGTACAGAGGTTTCAGAGAGAGTTGAATGAGTCTTATGGTAATTATGAATGTACAAAAACTTGGAAAACTCACTCTGATCATCCTGATAAGAAAAGAACTCCTGCATTTGTTGGTGTAGGCTCAATGCAGAGGCCTACATCAAGTGCCTTGAGAAGGTAGTGTTGCCTTGGATCAAGAGGGTAGCTGCTGGAAGACCCGATGTCTGGCAAAAGGACTCTGCACCATGTCACACAAGCAGAAGAACCCAGTCATGGCTGTCATACAATTTCTGTGACCACATCACCCCTTACAACGGGCCACCTAACTCCCCAGATGGCAAACCCCTTGATTATTATGCATGGGGTACAGTTGTACAAGAGACCAACAAAACTCCTTGTAACACCAAAGATGAACTGAAGGCAAGGATTATGACAGCATTCACCAACTTAAAGAAGGATACCATCTAGAAGAGTTGTAAAAGATTCCAAAGTCATCTGGAGGCTGTGGTTATTTATTTAAATTTACCGACCTGAATATTTGAGAAATCTTGTTAGAAAAAAAGGCTGATAGATGTAAATAAATTTAATCTATTTTCTAAAAACTGATTTTGTTTATGTTAGGCTATGAAACAGAGCAAATATGTATATTGCAAGAATCGGGAAGATATGTGTTCAAAAGCACTACTTGGACTTTGTTTGATCAGGACGTCCTACATGGCTGAGTGGTCTAAGGCATGTCAGATCTAATGACGGTTTCCCCTAGGGGACACAGGTCTGAACCCTGCCGGATGGTGCATATTTTTCTAACAAGATTTCAAATATTCAGGTCAGTAGATGTAAATAAATATACTGTTTAATAAATAAATAAAAACAGAGCATCTATTCAAATATGAGTATCCATTTAAAATAACATTTAAACAAATGAATTATATATATATATAAATATATGTATTGTATCAATTAAGTCTCTTATTGCTTCAGCAGCAGTAGTTGTAAAAAATTAAAATATTTTAGATAAAGTTTAACCTTCATAACTGCAAAAAAATGGAGTGTCAAAAGAATGATTTTTCTCTTGATACTTCTATTACTGTATGCACTCTTGGCTCCCTTGACAATGTTAATTGCTTAAAAAAATTATATTTATAATTTTAATAAACCCCAAGCATATGAGAGTGGATTTATACATTTTCATTGTTCTTGAAAATTGACAACAAAAATATTCAACACTATTTATTTATTAGAATGTTTATTTACAAAAATAATTTTATATTTCCAAGATTATAAAAATAATTGAACCAACTACAATTCAATATTTAGTATTTACCATTTTATAAAGAGTTATCATTTACCATTTTATCAAGAAATATGAAAACAAATTTTTTTATTCATAAATTTATAAAACTTCTAAATTTCTTTTAGAGTAGAAGTGTCAGTTGCATCTCGTTAGTTCAACAGTAAAATGGCGAGACCTAATTGCCAATCTAGTAGGATGCTTAAATTCATGTAGTCAGGGCACCAGGGAAAAAAAGCTCATTGGAGCAGTTGCCATGAAAATATTTGCAGAAAAGGAAGCCACATCACACTGGTGAGTAAGTGACTGAAGTTAAAATGCCTGGTAAGGATTGATTACATTACGGATACTTCTTTGAATTTTGTCATGAATCGCAAGATGCACACCAGGAGTATCAGACCAGATATGGCAACAGTATTCAGTGCAAAGGTGAATGGTAGATTTATAAACGTGCAAGATTCTGATGAGAAAAGTTTTCTGCCAAAACACAATGGACCAGCTTTCCTTGCAGTTGACATAGCCATTGATTTGAAATAGTCACCCCACTTTATGTCAGTTGAAAACATGAGGCCAAGAAAGCATAGAATGTTGTTCTCTTGGAGTTTAACATCAGCCATGCTGATGGCAGGCAGAAATGTTTCTCTGTGGTGATTAAATGAAGTCATTTTTGTATTGGAGGCATTTTAATTAAGAAACAAAAATTAGAAGATGATGCTTGTGATCATGCTAATTTAAGTTTGCCATGGAAGTTTAACTCTAGGTTCAAGTGTGCCGTGAGATAAAAAAGGTTGAAAAACATTGAATTAGGATATTGTGGTGATAAGATATGCAGATGACATGGTATTGACAGCAAACAAGGAAAAGAAATTACAAAATCTCCTACAGAAGGTAGTGATGAAGAGTGAGAAGAAGGGACTAAGCATAAACTACAAGAAGATAGAATGCATGGTCATCAGTAAAAGGATGAGCCTGAAATGCGATTTACAGGTCAGGGACACTAAAATCAAGCAGGTGTGGAAGATTAAATATCTGGGAAGTGTTTTGACAGTGGACAGAAAGTGCAACACTGAGATCCGAAGACGTACTGGGATGGCCAAGGACACATTCCAAAAGTTGGGCAGAGTATTGCAAGACAGGTGAATCTTTTTGGTAACAAAGAAAAGAATACTGAGTTGTTACATGACATCTGTCCTCCTTTATGGCAGCGAATGTTGGACGGTCTTCTCAAAGATGAAGAAGATACTTGAGGCGATGGATATGTGGTTCTACAGAACGATGCTGAGGATATCATGGACCGAGTATGTGAACAACAATGATGTTTTGGAGAGGATTCAAACAAGGAGGAGGCTTATACTTGACATCAGGAAGAGACAGCTGAAGTTTCTGGGACATGAGAAAGCAGGGCTTGGAGAATCTGATACTCACAGGTCGAATAGAGAGAAAGAGAGACAAGGGAAAGCAACGCATGACATACCTGGCAGGCTTATGCAAGTGGATGCCAGAACATGGTTTGGGGGAGTTGGCAGAGGGACGAAACTTATTGAGCACTACAAGGAGAGCCATCATCGCTTACATCCTGAAAGGACATGGCATATAAAAAGAAGGTGTAGCTTAAATGTATTTTCACTGAATTTCTCCAAATTCTAATTCTCCTTCAATAGAATCCAATAATTATTTTTTTTTTTTTTTTTTTGTGAATTTCAGAAGCTGGTGCTATTCAATGGGAAGGTGAATGTCATCATGTTATGTCATCTGTGGCTGAATTTCTCTCCTGGATTGAGAGCAAAACCGATGATGATGATAAAAATCCTGCACTTAGTTTTTATGATCCCAAAATATTTTGGTGTTACCTTGACTACAAAAACCTTGACAGTGTTGTTAAAGAAAAAGGAGTCATTAACAAAGTAATTTATATCTTTTTATTTAATTGCATTTATTTACACACATTGTTTTGGTTGAGAATATTTCTGTATGAAAATCATTTCGTCAGTAGGAAAGGAAAAATTCAAGGGAGGTAAATCCGTCAGAATTATGCCAAACTAGAGATGATCAGCTGAAAATTACAAGTTGTCGCTTTCGCCTTAATGCCAATCAGATAAATGATTTCTTACCAGCTAGAAGTCTCTTGGGAAAGTTTCTGCATTCCCCAAACCTTACAGGAATAGCAATTAAGGAGACGTCTGTAAAACATAAACTTATAAAGAATGAATAATATTTGTAAATATTTATAAATATATAAATTAGTGCATGGTAATATTTATACTTTACAATAGTCAGTTTTTAGTCTGTGCCTGACGATTGCCACATGCATGAAACTCAGAGTTGTACCAGACTGTGTGGAACAAAATGTATACTTATTATTAGTATATTTACACACACATATACATAAAATTTAATTTATATATATATATATATATATATATATATATATATATATATATATATATGAAGAAATATAGTTTTAAGGTGTGCTATATTTATGGGATAAAGTGCTCAATATCAGAGATAGAGCATATGTAAATATAAATATAAAAGTGAACATTGAGGTGAACACTCAAAGGCGACAGGCTCTTTCATGCTGGATGTAATCGTCAGGCTGTCTGATGATTGCGTCAGTATGAAACAGCCTGTCACCTCTGAGTGTTGACTTCAATGTTCACTTATATATATATATATATATATATATATATATATATATATATATATATATATTCTAATTTTCTTGGACTAATTTGGTACTTTATTGCTTTGCTGATAACAAGATGAGCAAATTTTAAATCTAAATTGTATGTTAAATGGACATTCTGTTTAATTATAGAATGACTTATAAAAATGTCTTAAAATGGCCACATCTTTTGGCTTATACTCTTTTCCTGTTACACAGTTTTATTTATTACTGAATAATCTCTGAAAAGTTCAGTAAAACCTTATAATTAGCTGATTATTTTAGGGTATAAAAAAATGAACAGGTTTTTGTTGAGAATTTAGTCATATCATTTTTCCTCTTATTCCACTTGTGATATTTTTACTCTAGTTCATTTTTTGTGACTATTAGTTACAAAAAAATTAAATTCACGGTATCATCATAAGTAATAAACTGCATATTTACTTTGTGGTCATTGCCCTGCTATCAGTTTCTAGTACCAATAAATAGATTTGAATAAGCAGATATTGATACATGGTAGATATAAATAGACTGATGTAGACATGGATAGACTGATATCAATAGACAGGCATGAGTAGACAGATATTAATAGATACACAAATAGACTTATATCAATAGATAGGCATGGATAGATTGATATCAATAGATAGAAACAGTGAAGTATTTATTGATAAGTTACTAAAACTTTCTCACTGTAGGTAAGTGAAAGAAAAGCTGATTATTTTTTATTGTTTATTTCACAGCCATATATATATATATATATATATATATATATATATATATATATATGTAAACAAAGGCACAATTTGACAGATTTTAAGCTGTTGATAAATTTATCATTTTTTTCCTTTTTCTTTCTTTCTTTCTTGTCTCCAACTCTGATTTTATTATTCACCTTGAGTAGGAGATGATTTTATTGCTCACCTTGAGTAGATTTTTTTATTGCTCACCTTGAGTAGGAGATGATTTTATTACTCATCTTGAGTAGATGATTTTATTGCTCACCTTGAGTAGGAGATGATTTTATTACTCACCTTGAGTAGGAGATGTCCAAACTGAGTAAGAGTGGAATGTACTATTCCACTGTCTTATTTCCAACCCAGTCAAATTGTAAATGTGTGTGTGTATGTGTGTGTGTACATATATATTAAATGGCCTTAGCATCTGTAAGTCACTCATGCACAACACTGACACATTCATCATATACATTACACACATGCATACAAAGTCGCATACAGACAAAGCATGACAGTTGGAGGATCACCCCCTCTCTTTTAATATAGAAGAGTGTACTTGTGCTGTCAAAAAAGACAGCAACTATGTCATATAGGACATAAATGAATGGAATCGTCTGTTTATATAAATAAGCAGAATTGAGGTGAGTTAGCATTGGGTCATTTGCTAATTATACCTTTCATTACTTACCTATGAGTTTGTCTTCCTTATTTATTTCACTCTGTTATCTTGAAAACACAAAAGTTTTGAAACAGTGGATTGAGATTGGATAATGCAAAGATCCAGAATTCATAACTAAAATAGAAGCCAATGAGCTGTTTAATTATTACATTATACTTTTTATATAGTCAATGGTATCTTTGATTCATTGATTACACTTGGCATTATATAAATTGATTTTGTTCAATATCTTGTTAAAAATTTTATGTGTTTAATATAACAGTGGAAACACCTCTTGAAAGCAAAATATTAATGAGAGACAGCAATGACAAAGCCTATCTCAACCCCTCTGTCTTTTCTACAAATATTTTCATGGCTACTGCTCTGACAAGCTATTTTCCCTGGTACCCAAACTACATGAATTTAAGCATGCTCCTCATTTGGGATATAGGTCCCACCCTTTTACTGTTGAAACAGTTAAATGTAAGTGCCACTTCTACTCCAACAGCTTCTTCTCTTGCTCCTCCCAATAGTGGAACTCCCTTCCTCTTACTTGCTTCCCCAATAACTACATCTAAAAAATTTAAATGCAATGTCAATCATCATCTGATGCTTTGATCCTCATTCTTCTTTCCTCAATACGCAGACTTTTCTCTTTATTTTCACTCTGTAACCCCTTGTGTACTAGTAGCACTCCTGCCTTGCTTGGGGTGAAATGCTTAAAAAAAATTGAAGCAAGACAATCACTTAATAGACAAAGGTATCTGAATACATCACAAGAAAGGCTGGAACAAATATGACTACACTTTAAGATTAATAGTAGTAAGGGAACAGATTAATTAAATGGTTCATTTTGCTAAATTGATTTTGTCTAAATAAAGATAAATGTTTTATTTGTATAGATTATTAAAATATCTAAGGGAAGTAGCCATCCATAAATTTACAACCTGGATTTACCTCTCTTCCCACTATAGAGTGTGATATGAAAGATATAAATAAATAAAAAGAACCAAAAAGTATTGTCTGTTTAATTTTTTATTATATTTTTTCTATTTTTGAATAAGGTGTTGTGTATTGGGATCAGAAGTGTGGATAAACCATCCAAAGTTCATGTTTTTATTGTTGTTGTACTTTCAACTGTTACAGTCATTTTCAAGAACCAGTGTGGTGTCTGTGTGGTTGGCAAGATTTCTTCGTCTACATCCTGGTATTCTTTGGAAAGTTGAAAGGTTGACATAGTCCACAGTGACATCATGTGTAACAGTTAATGAGAGTGAGGCCACACTGAAAAAGATGTGTTCTTTTTTTATTCTAATACACAACAACTTATTTGAAAATGGGGAAAAATAATAAGAGCATTAAACAGACTTTGTCAGACTTTGTTTGGATAAATACTTGCTGCTTAAATATAACTTATTCATAAATAAATAAATACACAACTGTAATTTTTATAGAGTAAATTTCTTTTGTTTAAAAACTACTTATATTTTTTTGATTGTATAGATTTTTAATGGCAGTATCCACTCAAATTAACTACCTTAAGTTGAGTTACCTCCCTTACCACTATAGATTGTGAAATGAAAGCTATAAATAATTTTTTTTTTTAGTCACTCCACTCCAAACAAAGCAATAATGCCATTAAGACGCAAGTGGATACTGGGAATGAAAGAGAATGAAAAGACTTAGGAAGGAACCAGAAACTCACTCCTAAACAGGAAATAAGGGATAAACATGTACTCCTGTTCAAAAGACTAGAAAGGAGTGTGAACAGGATGATAAGCAAACCTATCTACTCCTATTAAATAAATATGCAATGGTAATTTTTATAGAGTGGATTTCTCTTGTTTAAAAACTACTTATATCACATCACACCTTTAAAACAGTATACTGGAAAAAAGTTCTTTAAAATACAAATTAAGTCAATTATTAAATAAATTTTTAAAAATAGAATAGCTTCAGTATAACTTAAATGATCCTATCTGATTTATCTTTCTGTCACTGACATCATCTTTCGAGGTGTTAAATATATCAGTAAGAGAAAAAATACATTTTTCTTTTCTTTTGTAGGCAATAGACTGGAGTTGTTTTGGCTTAGTTGAGGAAGAACCATTTCAAAATTATGTGTGGCTTGGCTCCCAAGGTGCCCATACACCATGTCATTATGATACCTATGGATTCAACCTGGTGGTCCAGTTATATGGAAGGTCAGTATATAAAGAAACAGTGTTAAAAATCTGCTGCACTTGAGAAAATAATAGACAGTATAAAAAGTATTTTATACAGACTTTTTATTCCAAAGCTTATGTTACACATCTCAAGGATATACATGACTTTATTATGTTATTAATAATTTAGGGGTTTTTGTAGCAAAAAAAGCTTTATACTTTGTTTCTTTCTTTGCGAACAATGTGTTCAAATAATTGATATAGCAGCCCAGTTCCACAACGAACTAAACAAATCACAAGTCTAAACTCAAAGATCCAGGGGCAGAAATAAATGTCAAAATCATGAATCACAGATCCAATGTCACAAATCCCAATACACGTAAATGGTCAGAAATCACCATGCAAACTGATGGATGAAGCAGAAAAGATCAAAAATACTTCTTTCAATTCAAGAACACCAACCGCTTTTACTGACAGAACAGTTTTTTTCATTGGTCAACATATTAGCATATCCAAGAAGTATTTATGGCAACACCTACGACTGACTTGTTTCTACTTTGGTTATTTTATCTTCAGCATATCATACAGAACACATGTGCCCTTTTTCTTGGTAAGTGACTTTCTCTTTTGCCACAACTTCACAATCATTTCATTAGCTGAATAGTATGTACTTCATCAAGGCTAAATACAGTTTTGAATTCAAATTTTGCCTTCTCATTGACTGGTCACCACTCAAGACTGAAGAAGCCAGCCTGTCTTACTTTTTAACCTATAGTTGGGGGATTCATAGATTCAAACTATACTCAGAGGTATTTGCATGAAAGTGAATGTAATGAAACGTGACTGCAATTTGAACTCAGCTCTTCAATTTTTCATTCTGAGCTGCTACACATTTAAACCACATACACATTCTTTTTTTTATTTTCTTTTATTTTTAAGGATGTGGAAAAAAGAAGACATTAAATGTAGAAAAGATTTAATATCTTCATTGTTTTGGTGAGATGATTATATTGTTTTTTACAAATATTAGATAGTAGAAAAAGTCATCATCAAGGCCGACTGCAGTTGGGATCATAGAATCATTGTAAACCTCTGTAGCAAAAAACGAACTAAACAAATTGCAAGTCCAATCTCAAAGATTCAGTAGTAGAAAGGTCGAAATCATGAATTTCAGCTTTGATGTCACAAATCCCAATACATGTAAAGAGAAATCAACATGCAAGGCGATGAACAAGGCAGAAAAAATAAAACCAACTTTTCGTTCTTTTTGAGAACACTAACTGCTTTTATCAATGGAACAATTTTTTCATTGGCCAACAAGTGGGAGAGGACGCAGAATATTAGCATATCTGAGTTGCATTTATGGCAACACCTGCGACTGACTTGTTTCTACTTTGGTTATTTTATCTTCAGCATATCGTACAGAACACATATGCCCTTTTTCTTGGTAAGTGACTTTCTCTTTCACTGCTGTTTTTCAAAGGTATTTTCAGGTTTCACAGACCTGTTCCCCAAAGCCTGTTTCATGTACACATCTAAAGAGTATGACCTCACTATTAAACTTTTTATCATATATTAGGTTTTTTTTTTATACTAATGCTTACTCTGTCATAGACCCAACAGTCACTCAAGGTAGAGGGTTACTGAAGGAGTTTATTGTGTGAGTGGTAAGAGTAAAAGGTAAGAGGTGTTGTTTTTGAGGATATGTGTGAAAGATAACAGTTAACCCTACACTTAAACAGGTTAAGATTGTAGTGGTCAGGAATGCATCCTCCTGGGAGTCAATTCCACAAGGTAGCGGTTCATGGGAAGAACCTACTTCTCACTAATGGAATATGAAGGGAATGAGGGTGGTGTATGTGGGACAGTGGTCTTAGCTGTGAGTGTTACAAATGGTAGAACTTACTTGAACATTTTTGCTGGAAATAAAAAGAGGCTTGCAATGTTTCATCTTTGGAAATTGGGTGCTAGGGTAGAAAATTATTTATCATCCACAGCGCCACTTTTCGGCTCTAGCAAGTCTGTAAATTGAAAACTGGGCAGCTCCACCCCAGATATGGCATCAGTACACTCTTTTTGGTCTGATTTGGCTCTTGTAAAGACAGAGCATAGCAGGAGGTGTCAGGTACTTTCTGGAATGGTAAGCTGTCTTTAAGCGCAGTACTAGATTGGCAGCAAGGTCTCTTCAGTTTACAGTTGAAATGACATAACTGTAAGTTCCATGATAACATTTTTTTTTCCCCACACTTCTTGCTTACAGAACTCTCTTCCAGCCTCTTGCCTTCCAGTAAACCTTTATCTTCAAAAATTTAAATGCAATGTGAATCGTTATTGTCTGTCTTCTTAATTACTGTTCTTTTACTGTCCTCTCTCATTAATAATGTTTTTTTTTCTCATATTCTCTCACATTTAGTAACCCATTGTGTCTTTATTGCCTTGCTTGGAGTGAAATGATTAAAAGAAAAAAGATATTGTGATGATGTAATTCTTGTAAAGAAAGAAGCATAAGGAAGGTTTCTATTCATAATTAAAGTGTTCCAAAGAAAAGATATGTTAGGAAAGCCCTTGGTTCTTTTAATGGTTCTATTCAGCAGATGAATTGATTTTTTTTTTTGCTTTTTTGCAGTAAACGATGGATTCTTTTCCCTCCTGAAGACACAGAGAACCTGTATCCAACAAGAATCCCTTACGAAGAATCCAGTGTCTATAGTGAGGTGAATATTAAAAACCCTGACTTTAACAAGCATCCAAAGTTTAAGGTAAGACAAATTGACACCACTTATATAGACTGGTCTACTCATAAGAAATAGGGAAATTATTTTGGGGGAATAATTTTTGTAGATTAGAATTCATTTGACTTTCCTGAAGTCATACAGCAAAATAAAAATATATGATTAAAAATATATAATAATGAAAATATTTAATCTCAGAATGTCTAAAAATTTGTTATTTTCAAAAGATATTTTGCTAAGCCATCTTTTTATATTTCTGTTTCGTATTGCACTTTTTTCTTTTTTCCTTTCACCTCAAAATAGTGTTTATTTTTCAATATTGATTTCCCATTTTATTCTTTTTTGGATCGAGTTGTATTGGTCTTTAAATTATTAACAAAAATTCATATTCATCTTAAATAAGACAAGTTTCTTGAGTGGCTGTTTTAAATCTAAAAATAATTTTTTTTTTCTTCTGTCAGAGGTCAGAGGTGATTGTCAGTGATATACCTACCTTATATAAAAGCTATTTGATTTAAAAGTCAAATACACATGATACATGATTGACCAATGAAAATCAAACAACACAAAAGTGAAAATACCAGAAGTTCTTTATTTTTTCCATATCTCATTCTCTGATGAAGCCTTAATAAAACAGAAATATTTTAGATAAACATTTCCTATGTGTTTTTATCTTATAACCATCTCTTAACTGCTGTTGTTCTCAGGTCCACTCTGACCCGGGGTGCTAGCACCTGTTAGGGTCCCAAACATGGGCAAATAGTGAACCCCCAAACAAAAACAAGACTATGAAAATATAAAAATACATTTTTATAGCAAAAATACCAGCAATACATTCTTATGTAGTAAAGTTACTAACAATGCATTTCATCTGTAATTAAAGCCATACAATTGCGTTCAAAATATTTAGATTTTCACATTAAATAACCCATAGAGGTTTTGATATGCCACTAAATAAAATTAACCAAATCAAATCTTTATTTTATCACTCTATTAGATTACAAACCATATTTGATTTGTATTTGATCATAAAAGCTACATTAACCCTGCATTTGTCACATGGGGGTATTGTTACCACCCAGATTTTTAAAGTACTCATAATTCCTAGTTGCCAACTTGTTTCTTTTGCTCCTTCTCACTACTCTTCTGACTCAGTGAGGGTGTGTAGCATGTGGTATGGCTCAGTTGTAGCTCAGTTGTCATTGGAGGCAGAAGCCAAGGGATTATCCATTTTCAGAAATCTAAGGTGTCTAACACAGGATTAAATACAATGTTTTTCTTTTCTTTTTTTTTTTCTTTTTTTTCCACAGAATTCTAAGCCACATGTAATAATTTTAAAAGCTGGTCAAGTTCTCTATGTTCCTTGGAAATGGTGGCACTTTGCAGAGTGTTTGGAAACATCACTAAGCATTAATACTTGGCTGCAGTTGGTAAGTCTAAATTCTTTTTGTTTTCAAAATTTTTAACTCTTTGCACCTTTACAGGTTAACGTTTTCCACTGACATTTTTTTTTAACCATTTTACCAGAAGCAAGGCTATAATGCCACTAAGATGCAAGGGGATTACAGGAAATGAAAGAGAATGAGAAGACTTTAATGTGGAGAAAGGACAATAAAAGAACAAGATTCAGGAAGACAAACGATGACAATTGTTGTTGGAGGAAAGTTTTGAAGATTGTAGGTGACGAGGAAGCAAGAAATTGGAAGGGAGTTCCACAGGTGAGAAATGCAAGAAAAGCAACTATTAGAATAGAGTTCAACAGTAAATTGGTGAGACCTAATTGCCAATCTAGTAGTACACTTAAATTCATGCAGGTGAGGCACCAAAGAGGAAAGCTTATCAGAACAATTACCATGAAAATGAAGTGGAAAGGTTATATTTAATCAATTGCTAGGTCTGCTACTAGGAAATTTAGTTCAATGTGTCATACTAGACAGTTTTTCTCACCAGAATCTCTTACACATTTATAAGTCTACCATTTGTCCATGCTTTGAATATTGCTGTCACATCTGGTCTGGTGCTTCTGCTATGTATTTAGAAATTCTTGATAAAGTATATAGAAGAATTTTCAATGTTATTGGTCCTGACCTGGCATCTTGACTTCAGTCACTTTCCCACCACTGTAATGTAGCTTCTCTGTGACGTTTCTGTAAATATTTTTATGGTAATTGTTTTAATTAAGCTTTTCTCTTTGGTACATAGACTTTATAAATTTAAGTGCAGTACTAGATTGTGTCATCATTTTACAGTTGAAATAACTAGATGCACCTGTAAGTTCTATGCTAAGTGTTTCTTCTCTTGCATTGCTCACTTTTGGCTCTCTTTTCCAGCCTCTTGCTTTTCAGCCAACTTTGATCTACAAAAAATTATATGCGGTGTCAATTGTTATCGTCTGTCTTCTTAATTTCTGTTTTTTTATTGTTCTCTCTCCTTAATGTTCATATATGTTCACACTCAGTAAACCTTTGCTTTATTGCCTTCCTTAGGGTGGAATGCTTAAAAAAGACAAAAACTGAATCATATTCCATGTGAAAAAGATTGCTTCATCATATCCTATATTTAGGGCTGACCAAATAGTTTTGCTCCTTCAAGATAAGCAAGTTTCTTATCAGCCCAGTTAATAGTGTTAAAAGAGGCATGAACTTTAATACTCAGTTAAGTGCCATGCATAATACACGTTTGGGTGATCATGTATCTATCAATACATGACTGACGAGGCAGATTTTTTCCCGTAGTAGGTTGCCATTTCTTTCTGTGGTAGACTGGTTACCAACCAAGGCTAAAGAACCCAGTCTTCCCAAGGGTATTTGTGCGTAAGTGAATCTAATGAACTTGACTAGAATTTGAACTTGGCTCTCCAGAATATATCTTGCATATCTATAAGTCTGCCATTTGTTCATACTTAGAATATTGCTGCCACATATGGTCCAGTGCCCCTGCTATTTAGCTTGAGCTCCTTGATAGAATCCAAAGAAGAATCAGCAATATTATCGGTCATGATCTGGTGGCTCAGCTTCACTCACTTTTCCATCACCATAAGGTTGCATCTCTGTGTCTATTCTATAAATACTTTCATGGTAATTGTTCAATTGAGCTCTTCACTATGGTACCTAGACTTTTTGAATTTAAGCACAGTACTAAACTAGCATTGAAATCTCAACAATTTACAGTTGAGATGGCTAGATGTAGCCATAAGTTGTATCCTAACAGTTTCTTTTCTTGTTTGTGGAACTCTCTTCTGGCTTTATGCTTTCCATTCAACTTTAATGTGCAAAAATCTAAATGCAATGTCAATTGCTATCTTCTCTCCTGATTACTCTTTTCTGCTCCTGCTCGTTATTAATGTTTCTGTTCCTAATTCCTCCACACTCTGTAATCCCTTGTGTCTTAGTGGCTTTACTGCTTTACATGGGGTGATACTGATTAAAATAAAAGTTTAAGTAAAAATTAAGCATTCAGCTGCTCAATTTGGATAATGCTTTATCTTGCTAAATTTTCTTCTTTTAAAATGAAATTCTTTTTCTGATGATGCCTTTTCATCAAAGTACAGTACATAGACAATTACATAGTACAAGGGTTGCTCTGAAAGAAATGCATCCTATTTACTTCTGGGTAAGCTAAAATCATGTTTTGCCTCACTAATGTAAATAAAATTTGTTTTCTGGTGACACCCATTCATTGACAAAACATGTAAAAGTCAAAGTTTTCCAAATTGTCTTGCACACAAACAGAGTGATATACAAGGGGTGTTGTAAATTTATCTACCTTAGAAACTTTATAAGATCTCACCAAAGGAATAAAGATCAGAATTTTGGTGGTGGTGGAACCCTTCTTAGTTGGGCCAAGCACTTTTCAGTATCTCTTTGTGCAAAATATTCGTTTTATAATATAATAAACTTTGGTGCTTAAATTTCTTAATGCATTTTTAATACTTTCCAATAAGAATCAAATTACTATTTCCTTTGCCTTTTTTGGAAAAAGAACTTTTCAATGTTTTTGAATTCCATTTAACCGTTTGTCTTTTACAGCCTGAAGACAATGCCTCTCGAGTTGAAGAAGCCGTTGCCAGAATGATTTTCAGCAAATGGATGACCTTCAACAAAAATACTGACCACTGGCTGAACCCAAATGAAGTAAGCTGTCTTTTTTGTGGGGTAGAAAATTTGAAAATGTTTTTTTAGTTTTTCACATTCCTCTACCTAATTCCTTTTTTTAGATTTAATTGTTGCCAGGATCAAATGATGATGGCCACCAATTGATTGGAGTGTCCCATAATACTGATCCATTACAAAAACTTGGATAAAGACATTTTTTAGATGGTATTCTTTTTAGATGATCTTCTTATCCTGGTCAATTTTTGGTTTTGTTGGTTTTAAGGCAAACTCTGATATATGAAAGTAATTGGGCTCTCCTGTGATTTGAACCTTTAACCTGGAGGTTAGCAGGAAAGACAGATACCAATATGTTACTATACTGCTGGGTAAAATTAGATCCAGAAAAGTATGGGGATTTTATTTCTTAACGTTTCAATGAATCATTTAGTTCTTTTATCAAATGTTGAGCTTAACACATTTAAAATAACAAAAAATGGGTAAACTTGGATTTTGTGTCTGAAAAAAAAAATATGTGTCAAAAAGATGGTTTTTCCCTTGACACTGCTATTATTTTTAACTACCTTCACTCATTGGCAATGCTTATAGTGTTAAAAAGCGATGATTAGAACTATAATGAAACCTCGTTCACCTGTCATCTGGTTCACACTTCTCCCTTGTCTTTTGAGCAGGAGTAGAGATTTAACCCTTGTTTCTTGTTTAGGATTGAGTTTCTATTTCCTTTTAAAGTTTACTTCAACTCTATACTTTTAATGTCTCCACCTGAACTCTGAAATTTTATTTATAAATTATTTATTTTTCTTCTCAATAGGAGTAGATAGGTTTGTCTATCATCCAGTTGACATTCCTCCCCGGTCTTTTGAACAGGAGTAGAGGTTCATCCCTTGTTCCCTGTTTAGGATTGGTTTTCTGGTTTCTTTTAAAGTCTTTTCAATTTCTTTCACCCCCAGTAACACCTTGCATCTTCGTAGCATTGTCAATTTGCTTGAGGTGAATTGATTAAAAAAAACATATAAAGGGGAATTTATACATTTTCTTTGCTCTTGAGAATTGACAACAAAAATAATAAACACTATTTATTAGATTGTTTATTTACACCATTATCACATTAGAGATCCTTCCAGAATCTCAGTGTGGTTTCCGGGCTTCAAGAGGCACTGTCGACATGGTCTTCTGTGTGTGACAGCTCCAAGACCAGCAGAAATCACTGATATTCATCTGGGATCTCCAGAAGGCCTTTGACAAAGTCCCAATACCAGCACTGTGGGTCACTCTTGCCCACTTTGGCTGTCCGGATCGCTTTGTGTCATTGATCCATATGCTCCACAACAGAATGGGGGGCCGAGTGAACCATCGAGGTGTCCTCTCGGACATGTTTCCAATCCTTAAATAGGTCTCTGTGTTAGCTCTGATACTCTTCTTCCTGTACCTCATTGCCATGATCAACGAGATTCCCCCTGGCAGCACTGGCATTGACATCTGATACAAATTCACTGGTGGACTCTTCAACCTCACCTGACTATGTTCTTGCACAAACAGTACCACCACTCATGGACAAAAATTTCAGCATGTTGATGACAATATAACTGCGAACCAAACTGTCATTAACCTCCAGAGATCGGCAAACCTGTATAATAAGGCCTATAAACACTTTGAGATGCAGGTCAATGTAAAAAAGATGAAGATCCTCATCCAGCTGGACTCCAAACAAGCAACACTAGATGTTAGTATGAACATCAAAGGTCAGATGATAGAAGTTGTCAATGAATATCCCTACCTTGGCAGCACCATCTTTAATAATGTCATCTGTGAGAGAAACCTTGTCACCAGGATCAAAGTGGCTCATAATGTGTATGGAATGCTCTTGCACTGGGTCTTCAGCAATCATAGCCTCACCATAAGAACCAAAATCATGGTCTCTGGCCCATGGTCCTGTCCACCCTTCTGTATGCTTGTGAGACATGGACTTTGTATTGGTGGGACATCAAACATTTGGAGCAGTTCCAGCAAATAAAGCCCTGAAGAATCCTTCACATCAGTTGGGAGGATGGCATCACCAAAAATGAGGTCCTCTCTTAGACACTTCTAAGTTATATGAAACCAAGAACTGGCCAAACTTATTGGCTAGGAAGAAATCCCGGCATGCATTTCTATGTTTCTACCTATAAATTGGGGAGAGGCAAGTGTTTTGCAGTTATTCCTAGTGTAGAGTGGAACTAACATGTTTTACTAACAACACAGAAATTTTAATAATGAATTTAGTATCTCATTTCTAAGATGAGTAATTGTCAATATTCTTACATTATTTTGGACTATTGTCCTCATCTTGGTTGATAAAGATATTATTATAGACACAATGTTTCGACCAAGTGCCCTCTGGCTATCATCAGGTGTCTATTATTTAGACCATTCATATATTCAA